TAATATTGTAAAGAGAAACGGTTTTTTTTGTTTGTTTGTACCGAATAGGCTCCGAAACTACTGAACTGGTTTCGATGAAATTTGGTGAGAAGATAGTTTGAGACCCTGAGAAGGACATAGGATAGTTTTTATCTCGGAAATCATCCCTTAAGGAGGTGAAAATGGGGATGAAAGTTTGTATGGAGAAGCCACATAGGGGCGAACCCGAGCGAAGCGAGTGAGTCACTAGTCTTTCATAAATAAAGAGAGAAAAAGAATAATTATCGCTCTGTAATTATTATTTTTTTATAAAATGCAAACACAGAAAGTTATGATTTTACTCGTATAAGAATACACAGCGGTATGAGATAGCCAAGTGATAAGAAAGACACTTGTTTAAAAAATCATGTGTAACAGGTTCGAATCTCGGCTCTTGCACTTAAGATATTCTCATGTGTGAATCATTCCCAACATGATGACCACGTTGTCTTACGGTGAAGAACATCGTGAGGAAACCTTCATATATGAGAGAACCTAGCAAGTTGAATTGTCCTGCAGACATGCTCAGTCCGCTCGCACTTGGCCAGCGTGGTGGATCATACGTTACTGTCTCCCTCCTTTGCAATGAGAAAAAGCTGCTTATTACCATATTAGCGACTCGCCCTCGCCCCACTCGGGCGCAGTATAGATTTCTCAGAGATGAGTTATGTTCCCGCAATAAAAAGTATCCTATATGTTAACCCGGATAACCAGCTATCATCATACCAAATTTTATCAAAATCTGACCAGTGGTTTTCTCGTGATGCGGTAACAGACAGACAGACAAAAATTCTGAAAACTAGATTCGGCCTCTGTATATAATGTCCATTTCAATAAGATTTTCCAAAAAAATTTAATGTACAAATTCGACTTAGTTACAATTTTATTATAAGTATAGATTTCGCAAATTTATTTTGATTTTTGGTTCCCGACGTTTCGAATACTTTACAGCAATCATAGTAGCGGGACAGATCGACCATGATTGCTGTAAAGCATTCGAAACGTCAGGAACCAAAAATCTATATAAATCCGCGAATTATCCGAAAAAACTGTTTTATTTAAAATGTCAAATATTCGCGTAAATCTGAGAAAGATTTTTTAAGTCATAAATACATACTTCTTTTGGCGCGTTTGGAAAAAATTATGAGAGTAAATTTTTTACGATGCGCGCGCAAACCGACAGCCAAAAAGCGACATGACGAAGTTAGCTGCATTCCTTTTACAAACAGAGAGTTGTGACATACCGGATGAAATCTTTAGCTATTTTTGTTCTGTTACGCCAAAGAAATATAACTTCTTACGTGTGTACATAAGTACACACACACGTTTTTTTATCTTTTGTTTACTAAAGAAGACATATGTAAAAAAAAACTACATATATTCATAATTAATATTTAATCTATATATTTAGCATTCTTCGTTGGTTTTGGTAAAAAATATGCTATCTACAATTTGTGTTACGTTTTCTTTTTTAAATAAAAAAATATATGTGGTTTTTGTATGAACCTTTAAAATGGAAATCACAAAAGCAAAAAGAAAATTTTTAATTTTGTGATGAATTTAAATACCTATGATACTTATTATATTTTTTTTTATTATGATTTTTTATAATACTATTTCGGTTAAAAAAAAGACTTTAATCATCGATATATAAAAAACTTACATACACATTTCCTAACAAATATCTCTTCAGAAAGTGGCGTCGACATGTGACTTTAAGTCAAACCAAATAGCATTCAAAAGTGGAAAATTCTAATTGTCTAAACACAAATTCGAACTTACGCACACCACATAAAGTACTTTTTTAAACGAAACAACGTATGTTTTAATTTTGGCATCCGAAAAGCAATGAACAAAAGAGAATTAAAAGCGCACAATTTTGAACAGTGCACTTCTTTTTTTAGGGCACTTTTGAGACGTTAATTGTGTAACTTGAGTTTTTGTACATCAATGGTTTCAAGCCATACATCAAACTTTCAAAGGCCAAAAAAAAAGCTATTTTTTTATGTAATAAATATTACAACTATTTCTTTTTAAATAAATATATTTTAGATGGTGGAAAAAAAACAAAACCGGCATTACCTTAATATTTAAAATTAAAAAAAAAATTAAATCTAAAATTGTACAGATCTCACAGTATAGGCAGCGCATAATCGAATTTCGAGCAATTTTCATATTATAATATGTACATTTATGAACGCTAACGAAAAACAAAATGAAAATAAGATAGTAAGGGAGATAGCGTAGAATTTTTACTGGGAATTTTATCTATACAGATAAATAAAATTGAAGTGTCTGTTTGTAATGTTAAAAATAACAGCTATTTACTAAATTGGCTATGAAATTATATAAGGTACCTATAAGAAAAACACAATTTTTTACATTTTTGTCTGTCTGTTTGTTCCAGCTATTCTCCAAACCGGCTGGACTGATTTTGATGGGATTATCACTGGTATATAGCTGATGTTATAAGGAGTAACTTAGGTTACTTTTATTTTAATAAAAGAATTAGGGATCCACTCAAATAAAATTAAAATTTTATTTATTACTTCTTCCATAGTTACGTTTTAAAGTTTAGTATAGATTTCTCAGAGATAAGATATTTTCTCGCGGTAAAAAGTATCCTATATGTTGACCTGGATAACCAGCTATCATCATACCAAATTTCATCAAAATCTGACCAGTGGTTTTCTTGTGATGCGTTCCCAGAAAGACAGACAAAAAATCCTTAAAACAAAAATTGTATGTATAGATATCATTTCCAATTATACTAGAAAATGAAAAATTTGAAACAATTTTAATGTTGCCATTCAATTCAATTTGCATATTAGTTTGTTAGTTTGTAACACATGTTGTATCTTATGACACATTCGCAGCCAAATGGCATTCTATACAATGTCTATGGATATAAGAACAATATAATAAAATTAAATATAAATACAATAATTACAACATATAATAGAAAAACGTAAATAAATCTGTTATATAGTTACAAAAATATTATATTTTTTTGTTGGTTTTGGGACCATTCAAGTATTATTGTAAGCACCAAAGTGGGGGGGCTTTGCTTTGCTTATTTTTTATGACATTGGAGGGTCTGGAGAGTGATTACGTCAGCAATATTTATTTATTTAATTTTTTGGTTAATCTACAAAATTTAATAGATTTCGATTTGCCCAAATTATAATAAACTAGCGACTCGCCCCCGCTTCGCTCGGGTTCCTCCCTAGGTTGCTTCCCCATAAATTTTTTTAACCCTATAAGGTATGATTTCCGGGAAACAACTATCCTATATCCAGGTCTCAAACTATCTTCTTAACAAATTTCCTCAAAATCGATTCAGTAGTTTCACAAACAAAAAAACAAAATTTTCCTCTTTATAGTATTAGAATAGATGTGCATTAAATTCCTCTTGATAACTCCTGCTTATCAATAACAATAAATAAACTTGAATAAATTTAATAATATATGTACCAATATTTACTCAATCACAGCAGAGGGGAGTAAGAACTTTGTGTTCGCTAAGAAAGGGGGCAGAGGGGGCTGGTGAGGGGGAAAAAATCAAAAAACTTGAGCTCTGTAATACTTGAATGACCAATTTGTGACAGTGACATTTTCTTAGCTGTTTTCTGTCTGAATACCATAATATGGCACTTTCAGAATCTTTCAGTACCACACTCGGAGCCGCTGCACATATATTTAAAAAAATTGTCTGATAGAGATAGACATTTTGAAGTACATTAAAACATTTATACAAAATCAAATGAATTAATCAGTATAGAATTTTTTTAAGAATAGGTCACAGTACGAGTTCATTCAATACACTTCTAAAAAGGCCTAAAATATACAGTTTTCATTCAATATATCCATAAACAACATAGAAATATCCATTTTTATGTTTTGGCTCAACATTATAACATAATTTCAGTCGAATCACAACAGTTCATATCTTCACTAAAGCAACTCTGTCGCTGTTTCCTCCAATCTGTAAGAAAAACAGTTTTTACCTAAGTAAAATATTACATGCGGCATATATCTATACTAATATTATAAAGAGGCAGTTTGTTTGTTTGAACATGCTAAACTCAGGAACTGCTAATCCGATTTGAAACATTCTTTTTGCATTAGATAGCCCGTTTATTGAGGAAGGCTATAGGGTATATATCATCATGCTACTACCCAAGAGAGCGGAGCAGTATTGTAATATAGTCTATCTATTCCATACTAAGCATTAAAACATACCTAGGGAGCCATAAACATACTAAACAAAGCAAGGGTGAGCTGCTAGTTTAACATAATAAATAAGACAACAAAAAATCATTCAAACATGACTTAAATTAAAAATATATATAATGAAAACTATAAACGAAAACAAAATACTATTATTCTCATGTGAAACTTTTAAAATCAGAAAACATTATACACAAAAAAATGACAATTGTTATAACTTTTGGGCATCTTAAAATGTTATCAACAAAAGACTTGCCTTATAACTAGCGACTCACCTTCGCTTCGGGTTCTTTCCTAGACAAAAACAAATCTATCCCACAGGAACCGTACATTTTTCCAAGATAAAAAGTTAGAGTAAAAAGTTTATGTGCTATTCCAGACTATAATCTATCTCTGTACCAAATTTCATCCAGATCCGGTCAGCTGTTCTAGTGTAAAAGAGTAACAAACAAACGAACATCCATCCACCCTCACTAACTTTTACATTTATTATAGTATACTTATTGTTTCTCTATTGAGATAATCTTTATCTAAATAGAATAGATTTTATCAAAGTACAGGTTGTTAGATAAACTATCCTTTTTCTTTGGACATATTTTTAAGTATAATTAAAGCATGGAAAATTTATAAGCATAATAAAAAAAAGAATTCAGCATGCCAACTTTAAATTATCACATTAAATAGCACATTTATTTCATTATAGAAACTACTATGACTTCTAGATATTTATATAAAAAACACAACAAACCTCAGCATTCCATAGGAGCTATTGAATTTGAATTATCTCCGTAGCCACTAAGACTGCCTTGAAATTCTATACCACTAATCTGACTATCTGCATTAAATGATGCCCCATATGAATCATTACTCGGGGCATGTGAGGATTCCAAATTGCAATCTCCTGAGTCAGCGGGTGTTGACGCATCAGGTTCTGCCCAATTGATTTTAAACCTAGTCACTCTTGGTTCTGAAGCTAGTATATTTCTCACCACTTTGTCAAATTTTGGTTTTGGAGGAGGATTTTCACGTAGTTCCGGCTCACTATCACTATATTCGTTATTTATGTAATATCCCACACGAACGAATTCTTGTCCTCTGTACGAGCAAGCTAATAAAACTACAGTTACTCCTAGTGCATCGTTTTCAGGTATACGGGTCACGTCTGGGGGTGGTGCTTGAAACACAAACATGTGCTTTCCTTCTGGAATTGGTCCAACGTATATTGTGTCTAAAACCTGATCATGTTCTTCAGATTCAGCCGATCCAACATATATCATTTTGCATTCTAAATCTTCTTTTAATTCTTCAATACATTCAAAGGTCAACTCGAATTGGAAAGGGTTAAAAAAAGGACTGGGATTGTCCAGAACAACGACATTGGTTATATGAACTTTAGCCATAATTATCGCTTACGCAGCGATTAATTGTTTATTTTAAATTAAATAACCTTTAAATATCTTGATAATCTCTTTTAAATGCAGCAATCACAAATAAATAAACGATCTAACGAAATACGTGTAGACTGGTGAAAATTGACGTTTATTTTGGCGGTTGAATGGATCACGTGATCAAAATAACTGCCCAATCGGTAAATAAGTATGTATAATAGCGTATAATAGTACCTAGTATAGTATTCTACAATCTGTGGTAGTACATAAAAAATATAAACCTTTCTATTTTATTTCGGCATGAAAATAAATATTTATTACATAAAAGAAGCTTTTCATTTAATATCAATTCATAGCTTAATACCATAAGATAAATAATATAGGTAATAAAAATTATACTGTTTCTTAAAATATAATTATTAAATACTCAAAAAGTTAAATTACATAGGTAATATACATTTATATAACACACAACAAACACTAAAATAGTTAACGGAAATTCATAGAAAACTATAATATGTATATTAAAAAATATATATGTAATAGCAAAAATAAAACATTTTTTTCATTGATTCCTATCTAGTGGTCTAAATAACGTTGACGTTTTTTTTTCTATATGGCATAAAGTTGCGTTAACAGATGAAAATTGAAATCCATTCTGCCCATGTCACGTTTTGTGAGGAAGACACGAAGACGTTGAAGTATCAAGTACGCTATGGACACGTCTTTTTTCAGCATGCGATTGCCTATTTGATTGAGAATTTGCTTGTTACAATTTTAATTTTGTTTTAAATTTCGGTTATTATTTAATACTATTTTCTATTTACAAATTAGTGGGGTACTTAAAAATACTGTATAATTTTATTCCATATTCACGTTTGTCTGTATATTATAATATGTAATTAAAAAAATGCGCTGTAACAAAGCGGAAATTAGTCTTTCCTTTTTTAATTTAATATCCTAATAATTTGTGGCGCTCCTTTTAAAATTCTTCCACTTGCTACTATAGCGCCACCTTAATTTGCTCCCTATCAACGGACACTTTTTAATGCACTGAGATGGTCCTCCTTACTTCTACCTTCCATGGGTTATTGTGATGGCGAAAATTGATTATCATTATCAATAACAAAAGAAACTACAAGACTTGTAAGTTTATTAATTTTTAAATACATTTATATATTTCGCCATATCTATACCTTTAAACGAGCAATTGTTGTATATTTAATTATTTATATATACCGGCGATCTCGGGAACGGCTCTAAAGATTTCGCTGAAATTTGGCATGTGGGGATTTCCGGGGGCGAAAAACAGCCAACCGCTGGTGAAAGGATTCATGAAACCATAAACAGGACGGTACAATTAATCTATACTAATATTATAAAGAGGTCTGCCTCCGTGGTGTAGTGGCTAGCACATGTACGGCTGCACACCCGGAGGTCCTGGGTTCGCGTCCCGGGTCGGGCCAAGTTTAGTTATTGAGTCTTTCTGTATAAGTAAGCCTCAGTAACAGCCCGGAGTTGGGAAGTTGGCGGTGTTTCACCCCCGTGCCTCGGAGAGCACGTAAAGCCGTCGGTCCTGCGCCTTAACTCTCACTGGTCGTGTCGAGCAGTCGTCCCACCGGAATATGAGAGTGACAGGAATAGAGAGTGCACTTGTGTCTGCGCCTACACTTGTGCAGTTGGCTAGTCTCAATGAGATTGGCCGCCATGGCCGGAATCGGTCGGGAGAGCATCACATAAAGAGGTAAACTTTGTGAGTTTGTGAGGTTGTAGGGGGTAATATCTGGATCTACTGAACCGATTTAGATGAAATTTGGTAAGATAGATTGAGACCCAGATAAATATTTAAGGGGGCTCCCATTCAACAAACGTTATTCTTTTGCTATTTTTATAGATAATGATACGAAACCCTTCATGCGCGAGTCCTAAATTAAAAGATTAAACAATAATCGAGTTGCTTAAAAATATATTTGCCAATTGTATTGTGCAAGCGTAATTATTGTTTTATACATTTTTAATTCTCAATTAAGAAAAAAATAAAAACTTGCCAAGTGCGAGTCAGACTCGCGCATGAAGAGTTTCGTACCATTATCTATAAAAATACCAAAAAAATCACGTTGTATGGGAGCCCCCTTAAATATTTATTTAATTCTATTGTTTATATTTGTTGTTATAGCGGCAACAGAAATACATCATCTGTGAAAATTCCAACTGTTTAACTATCACGGTTCATGAGATACAGCCTGGTCACAGACGGATAGACGGACGGACAGCGGAGTCTTAGTAATAGGGTCCCGTTTTACCCTTTGGGTACGAACCCTAATAAACTACTCTAAAATACTCTGTTGTAAACGCAGAGCCCGAACCATACTCGAAACGTGCGGTTTCTCGATAACCAATCACAGCGCGAGGACCTTGGGCCCCCATCAGCTGCTGGCATACCTCGATAAGCTATCTTTGTCGCACCTATGGCTACGCATAAGACTTTTTGTCTAGTACTAATTTGTAAACTTTATTTACGTCTGGGAATGGTTTATAACCGGTAAATTCGTCTGGCGATTTGCAAGTATTATTGAAAATTAATCAATATTTATACGTGATTAAAATTTCAGATTGTCAAAAGTATATTTTTTGGGAATTTTAATAAAGCATCTTTGGAAAGGTCTAGCAATACTTTATAACCGACAAAACCGTCTGGGGTTCTTTTTTTTGAATTATATGAAAACTAAATTAAAAGATTAAACAAAAATCAAGTTGCCAAAAATATGTTTTTTTGGATATTTTTTTTGCAAATGTTATATACTACACAGTAACGAAATAACCGCTACAGCTATACCAGACTCGCGGGATTGGACTCGCCAATTCACGAAATTATATTTTTTCACAATTTCAACTTGCCAAAAGGACCTTCCCAAAATTCGTCACGAGCTCTCGGGCTAAAAGTTATTACAAATAATCTTTTACGACACAACACAACAAAAATGATCCCTTAAAGAACCATCGATATCAAAGGGAAAAATATAATCAATTATTTTAAGAACAGAATAAGTAATGCAAATTTTTTGTACACAACTTACACAGGTAATATGGGATAAATATACTTTGGATGATAAGCTTCGAGATTAAATTTTAAAACCCCCACCTGAGAACACATGTAATCGAAATGATCAATTATAAAGGACATGTCTTCTTTCTCGAGTGGTTAGAGGCTAGGAGTGATTTGAGTTATTAATTATAACTAGTGAAGAAATTTGGACTTAAAAAATTTGCGTAGTCTTAACACTTAGTATAGTTTAGATTAAAAGCTAAATCGGTAAGACGTGGAACCTATGTTCGATTTTTGTTAGTAATTTAAGGTTTAAGTGTTCAGACCCGGTCGGACTATCGATATTCACAATCCCCGCATTTTCCCCGCATAATGCCAATCCCCAATTGACTTGAAATTCCCCGCAGTTTGGGGAATTCCCCACAAATTGGCAACACTGAAGAACTCATTTATTACAAATACACTTAAAATAATTAAAACTAATTCTAATTTTAATAAATTCTAATATAAATTATTCACTTATAAAGTAAACACTACACACTACACAACATAATATTCATTGATTATCACTAAAATATTTCTTTAAAACATTCAATGCTCCTTTCATAAATTCTAGCCACTGAGCTTGCAATTGTAGCTCAGTATCTCGTTGACGAAGCTCAATGTCTCTCTGTCGAATCCTCTCTCTTTCTAATTCTACAAACAACCTTTCCCTCTCCCTATTATCCTCTCTTGCATTCGCCTCACACATAACAAAATATTCTTCTATCGTTCTGCTACTTTTCCTCTTGCGAGATGGAGGTTGTGGGGTGGTTTGCTTGTGGGGGACTGTAGGAGATATTGGTGGAGTGGACGATTTTGGAGGTGTGGTGGGTGTAGAAGACCTAGATGTTTTAAAGGATCTTAGGATAGGAGGTACTGCATCCTTGGTGCACCCAGAAGTGTTCCGGTCTTCGTCATCTGTTAAAATATATATAAAAAATTAGCTATACATGTATGTGGGGAGTGGAATGTACGAGTAAGTGAAAGGTACAAAGGTATGCGAGAGAAAGGAATGAAACATAAAAGGACATTCAAGATGGAGGATTCTGTGTAAGACGGTGTGAGCGAACTACGCAGATGAAGAGTGACATAAATTATTAAAAAGCAAATACTGCCTTTTACTTTGAGTATCATCCCACGTATACTACAAAATTACATACATATAATTAACTGCATTTTATAGTTCATCTATTTATTTAATATAATTATTTAAAATTTTGTTCAAGTAAATGTGAAAATTACAAAATACTTTAAATGTTCGTCCCTAGGTATAAAATAATAAATATGTTGGGACATTAACACACAGCACCATCTAGTTCCATGGTAAGCTACGAGGCTTGTGTTATGGATACCAGATAGTTGATACACTACATATATATAACTTTAAATACATACATATTATAAATATAAACACCCATGAATGAAGTACAAACATTCGTGCTCATCACACAAATGAATGCCCCCAGCGGGACTCGAACCCGCAACCGCTGGCACAGTAAGTACACCACAAAGCACACACTAAAAACTGAGCCAAACGTGTCGTCAAAATGTATGTTTTAATGGTTAGTATGAAATACAAATCATTGAATTTCTCGGCTTATCTGTACTATGATATAAATATGCATGTATTATACATATAAACCTTTCTCTTGAATCATTCTATCTATTGCTGAAAACTGTATTAAAATCCGTTGAGTAGTTTAAAAGATCTAAGCGAACAGATAGCGGAAGCGACTTTATTTTATACTATGTAAAGTAATGACTAATGAGTAGTCCAAAACATACCAACAATAGGTGTCGGTGTTATAGTAACAGGCTCCCTGGGTTCATCATAGGACACTATTTCTAACGCTTCCACGGTATCTTCTGCCTGGGAAAAAAACAAAAAAAAAATAGTTTTATATTTAGGTTGTGTATATTATTATTATGTTGGACTAAGGTCCCGCTGCAGGATTGCTACATTCATAGCGTATTTAATCAAAATCAATTTTTATATACAATAATAAAAGGGACAAAATGTTTTGACCGGGGTGCCTATTAAAATGTTTTTATTTATTATATGTATTTCGAAGATAACATTCCCTTAGTTTCATGGAAATTAAAAGATTATTCTAGAAATTAAAAATAAAAAACCAAGAAATAGTTAAAAACAGAGTTTTTTGCAAATATCTCGAGAACTTTGAGGTTATTGTAAAAAGAGTTATTTATAAAAGTTGTAGATTTTTACTAGACCTACAACTTTTGCGGAAATCATTTTTTGATAGAACGTCACAGTAAGCCGGAAATTGAAAAAAAAATATTTTGCAATGCTTTGCGTCCCACCATTTCTCGGGGTAGCTGGGCATGTAGGGCATTTTACGAATTTCTATTCCTTATATACCTGTTAACTGTTAACATTTATAAAACTTCAGGTTTTCAATATTTTGTTCCCAAACCGGATTCCGATTGGACTACTTTATATACTGAAGTATTTATTTTCACAACTGTGAGAATGAAAGTGTGTATGTAATTATATTATAATAATATATAAATATTAGAAAAAATAAATATTTGATACTTTTGAAACAAATTACAATGTCAACACAAAATTTATTGTGTCCAATTTTTTTCAAAATATATCAAAAAATTACATTAAAACTTCAAATAATTTTATAAAAATGATTAAAAAGAAAACAATATCGAATGTGTATATTATAAGACATTCACAATAAACATATAACATTCCCGAGGAGGGTTGATATCAGGCAAGTGGAGGGTCGTGAAACTTTAGCTAAATCCTATCAGCAGTACGGAAGACGTACTGCACCAACCCCAAGTAATTGGGAAATGGACAGGGAGATGATGATGATATATAAATATTTGAATTAATGAATATGGAAAAGCAATGGTCACCACCTAGATACAAAACTGAATTTAGATAATATTAGCTCTTATAAACCACAGACCATTCCAAAACTAACTTCAGCGATGGGCATTCCAGTTGTTGCCTGGACACTCACCCATAATAGCAATAACCCAGTTCTCTAAATGGGTTAGGCACATTTTAAGAGCTGGCGCATCACCTGCGCCACGCACCAATTTATACATATTGGGACCACATTCTTTTTGTATTATTTTTAAACGACTCCAAACCTATACCCTGTTATTACTTAAAGAAATAAAATACTTACATACTGCGTATGGCTGGTTCTTGACGACATCATTTAAATAAACGATTAAAATTGGCAAAATATACAAACTTTAATTCAATTTTTTTGTTTATTGTAATTTGTACTGTGTACAAATTTTAACCAACGTGCAAATATCAAGTATCAACTATCAACAACTAACAACAAACAACCATGGATGACAAATAAAACAAACAACAAGTGAAACTGAAACGACGCGACGCATAGGGGCAGTGCTGCCAACACTCTATAAGTATTTATATATGTAGCAATATATGGTATTAAGTCTATAAAGAAAACGCGCTAAATTGACTTTAAAAAAGCGCTAGATTTGGACATTTTTTGAATAAAAGCGCTAAATTATAAAAAGAATTAAAAAATAGGTAATTATGATTATTTTTATTTAAAATGTATATTAAAAGACAAAAATTATCTACAAATTTATTAGCTAATATTTTTCATCGTCAGAAATTTGTTCTTCTTGTACAATTTGGTGGTACCTCCATAGTTTTGATCGTGACTTACATTTTGTATTTTTTTTAATATGTAATGTAATAAATTATCATAATAAATCCAACCTGTAACCTGAACATTATGTACCTCTGGTACATAATGTTCAGGTTATGTATGAATACATAACGTAAGGTAGTTGTTTAATGTTTGTGCTAAGGAAAACTGAAAAATATAAAACATTTTTCATTTATTATCTAGTATTTTAAATGACATTGACATTTGTCACTATGGACACGTCTTTGCAATGACATACGTCAGATGAGCTGAAAAGTGAAAATTGATTGTTATCAATAATCAGAAGAATATCTACAGAAAACTACAAGACTTGTAAGTTTTGTTATTTTTTAAATACATTTATGTATATTTCGCTATCCATATTCAACTTTATTTAAAAGTATCTATTTCTTAATAAATGTTGTCAATTTTAATGAAAAAAAATGGTATATTTATTATTTTAGTACGGGTCGTTGCTACTTGCGGCGTGGTAGTCGTAAATAATTATTCGATCCTTGACCTTCCAAAATGTCAATATCTTTTTATTCTATTTTATTACATTTCTTTTTTAAGAACTATTTTATGTTATAGTTATAATCTATAAATATACATATTTTATTAATTAATTTATACATAAACCTGTTAGAGTCGTAAAAAAGAGTTTTATGATGTTTATGTAAAAAAGTGTCTATCTATTGTAACGGTATTATGTCATATGATAAATGATAATACTTTAAGTTTATGAGCTAACGCCCAATATTTAAATAATATTTAAGTAAAATATGCAGGTACAAAAATGATAAACCTTATTAAGTTATTTTTAATTGTTATTAAAATGAGTAAGCTATATTTTATGGCACATAAGGTATCCATACATATAATAAAATTGTAATTAAGCCGAATCTGTACATTAAATATTTTTTGGAAAATCTTATTGAAATAGACATTATTATCGATACAGAGGCCGAATCTATAGTTTTTAGAATGTTTGTCTGTCTGTGTCTGTTACCGCATCACAGAAAAACCACCGGAGGGATGTTTATAAAATTTTGTATGATGATAGCTTGTTATCCGGGTCAACATATAGGATACTTTTTACCGCGGGAAAATATCTTATTTCTGAGAAAAAATACAAAAACTGCATTTTAAGAGTATACTAATATGTAAAACCTAAGAATTTAGTTTTTGGTCATCTGAACGCGGGCGGAGCAGCGGGCAATGCTAGTGTAATATATGTTAAGTAAATATAAAATAATTTTTAAACTTGTTAAAAAAACTAAACCTTATCTCTAATCATCCTACTCGTGATACTCTATATTTATCTCATTTTTTTGTATGTTACTTTACTGAAGTTTCACTTCTACCATTTGTACCTAAATTGCACACACACACACACACTTTTTTAAAGTGAATACATAAATATTATAATAAATTTATATTTGAAGACTACATCATAAAAAACACATTATCGGTTATCTGCTATAACAATCGTAAATATATCACGACAAAAAATTTTTACAATACTAAGTAGATACTTTAGAAATTTTAATTTTATTTAAAACGTAACACTTAGAAGAAATTATAAAACTTAGAAGATTCAATACTTTTTTTTATAACTGTAGCTTGTTAATTCTTTTTAATTCTAGTACGTGAAAAATGGCAAAAATAAAAAATATTATGAATGATTTCTAACCCTCAGACATTTTATATTTAATAGTATAATCGTATATTTAATTCATTTCGCCGGTGACAATTTAGGATTACATATAATTACTAATGGGTAACGCATTCACTTGGAAAACCAATTGATGTGGGCTCGAATCCGGGCCTCGCGATGAGAATTTCATGTGCGAATTAATTCCAACAAAATTATCGTTTGCTTTAAATACTAAAATATACCTAATATAGTAAAAGGTCTGTCCAAAATCTTTTAACACTTACTAATAATATGTTTTATTGATTTTTTAACTAGTTTATACTCAAGACCACATAATATACCAGTTGAAATCTATACATATAATAAAATTGTAACTAAGCCGTATCTGTACATTAGATATTTTTTGGAAAAACCTTATTGTAATAAATATTATCGATACAGAGGCCGAATCCATAGTTTTTTTTTTAATTTAGCATTGCCCGCGGCTCCACCCGCGTTCAGATGGCCAAATCCAAATTCTTAGGTTTTATATATATTAGTATATTCTTACATTGTAGTTTTTGTATTTTTTCTCAAATATGAGATATTTTCCCGCGGTAAAAAGTATCCTATATGTTGATCCGGATAACCAGCTATCACCATACCAAACATCAAAATCCCTTCAGTGGTTTTTCTGTGATGCGGTAACAGACAGACAGACAAAAATTCTAAAAACTATAGATTCGGCCTCTGTATCGATAATAATGTTTATTTCATTAAGATTTTCCAAAAAATATGTAATGTACAGATTCGGCTTACTTACAATTTTATTATATGTATAGATGTACCTATTGGTATGGTTCACTTCATAGCACATGTAAATTAAAGTTGAATAAGTATTTGTCTGAACTAAACTCAGAAACTAATGCACGGATTTAAAAACAATTTCCCCCTTTTAAATAAACCTACATTTTCCGATATTATCGTGGATCTATTTTGATTTTTGGTTCCCGACGTTTCGAATGCTTTACAACAATCATGGTCACGGGAGAGACTTAGGCTTTAGACGTCTCAAAGGTCATTCTATAGTTGTTACAGACTACAGACTTGCCTACCCACAAAATTACACAGTGATTTCAAAAAATATTTATTTTTTGTATATTTCTGAGGTGCTATATTATATATATATATATATATATATATATATATATATATATATATATATATATATGTATTATTGTGCCTTTGTGTTATTCCAAATCGTAAGTCTATCTGTATTATTAATCTTATCCAAATCCGTCCAGCCGTTTACGTTCGTACAAACCATCCGCAAAGCCGTAAAATTTTTTGCAATTCAAGATAAAATTGAAATCATGCATTAAATTAATTAGCAATTTTATTTCATTAATTTTACATTTACACTTACTTTTCATAGAACATTTATCATATTGTTTTGTACAGAATTATACTTGTGAATTAGTATATTTTAAGCATTGAAGGCGACGTTGTCAAAGTTTCTTTTAAGCATCCTTCGCAAACTAGTATGCAAAGTAGAACCATTTTATACTCATGCTTGTGTAAATTCTAATACACTGTGCCCTGGCCGTTCAAGTGGATAAGTAGCTGTAGATTATACCTAGATGAAGAGTTTCAGTAAAATATAATGTTTGTTAAATATTTACTCGTAGGTTTATTGTTGCTGATATTGTAAGTTTTTATTTATTTTTTATTTTCATTTTAGGGCTGATTTTTTAATTTGTACATATGTACATATAATAAAAGTACAGACAGCGATCAGTTGCCGCTGTCTGTACATGGAAGATATTTGAGAAAAACTATTATTGGTTGTCTTTATTAACGCTATGGATTCCAAAACAACGATTTTTAGATTTTTTGTTTGTTTGTCTGTGCGTTTGTGCGCACATCTCAGAAACGGCTTAACCGATGCGGTTTTCACTAATGTAAGTTTCACTTAACATTTAGTGTTTGTTTTATTTCAATCGGTTCATAAATAAAAAAAGTTATGTCAAATTAGAGAATCATCAAAAAAAATTTTATCAATCGAAAAATATTGTTTTTCGGTTAAAATAAGACAAACATATAAATAGTCAATAAACAATACTTTTTTCTCTATTAAGTTATATTACCTTTTGTTAATTTGAAAATAGCAGTAAGTCAAGGAAAATATTAAAAACTAGCATTGCCCGCGGCTCCGCCCGCGTTCAGGTGACCAACAACCAAATTCTTAGGTTATACATATTAGTATACTCTTACATTGCAGTTTTTGTATTTTTTCTCACAAATGAGATATTTTCCCGCGGTAAAAAGTATTCTATATGCTGATCGGGATAACCAGCTATCACCATATCAAATTTCATCAAAATCCCTCCAGTGGTTTTTCTGTGATACGGTAACAGACAGACAGACAAAAATTCAAAAAACTATAAATTCGGCCTCTGCATCGATAATTATGTCTATTTCAATAAGATTTTCCAAAAAAATATTTATTGTACAGATTCGGCATAGTCTCAATTTTGTTATATGTATAGATAGATAAGAATAGTGCTTAAGTTACTACGTAAGTAGTGTTTGAGATTGTATTGTGTAGTGTTGTTTGTCGAAACATATATTTTAACAGGTCATCTAACATGTTATATTAGTTTTGTAATACGACTAAGTTCACATTTATTAAATGATTGATTTTAAAAACTCTTAGCCGTGGAGAGAGAGTTTCTATTATAATAAAAACAAGTTATAGATAGGACCTTCTTTGGGAAAATCTCTTCAAAATGTGACACCATTCGTTATATCATTTTGGATGAAATTTGGTAACATTATAGTTTGAGACCCTGAAAAGGACATTAGATACTTTTTATCCCGGAAATCATCCCTTAAGGGGGTGAAAATGGAGATGAAAGTTTGTATGGGGAAACAACCTAGGGACGAAACCGAGCGAAGCGAGGGTGAGTCGCTAGTAAATAATAATCCTGATGTGGTTTATTTCGTAAAAAGTAATCTTTACATATAATAAAATTGTAACTTAGCCAAATCTGTACATTAAATATTTTGTGGAAAATCTTAATGTAATAGACATTATTAGCGATATAGACGCCTAATCTATAGTTTTTAGAATTTTTGTCTGTCTGTCTGTCTGTTACCGCATTACAGAAAAACCACTGGACGGATTTTGATGAAATTTTGTATGGTCGTAGATGGTTATCCGGGTCAACATATAGGATACTTTTTACCGCGGGAAAATATCTCATTTCTGAGAAAAAATACAAAAAATGCATTATAAGAGAATATTAATATGTAAAATCTAAGAATGTTTTGAACGCGGGCGGAGCCGCGGGCAGTGCTAGTTAGGTATATAGTACAACTCGTAGCTGTGGCTGGGAAAAGATATTGGATAAAAAAAGGTCTATTACACTCCTTTCTATAAACCTTGATATGATATTTATTTACTTATATATTCTTTTCAGATCCTGCACTGATGTCTATGGAGCTAACTTAAGGAATCGTCCAAGTACACTTACGCGTAAGTCTTATAAATAGTTGATTCGAGTTGTAAAGATGATTTTGATCTGTTTTATTATTTTTCAATCTAGTAAGCATAGGTTTTTAGTAAAATGTTTTATACCCAAATACATATTTATAAAAAAAATGCAGATTTGTTTCGATATTTATACTTTAATCTATACTAATAATATTTAGGTTAAGTTTGTGAGTTTGTGAATTGTGAGTTTGTGACGTTGTAGGGGGTAATCTCTGAATCTACTGAACCAATTTAGATGAAATTTGGTACTTTTTATCCCGGAAATCATCCGTTAAGGGTGAAAATGGGGATGAAAGTTTGTAAGGGGGATCAGCCCAGGGACGAGCCCCAGCGAAGAGAGGGCGAGTCGCTTGTAAGTACATAAATTGAAAGTATGTTTTAAATTGTTTTAGATAATATGTCGCTGCAGCGTTTAGCGGCGCTTCGTGCGCTTATGGCCAGCCAGCCATCAGCGCTGGCTGCTTATATCATTCCGACTGCGGATGCTCATAATGTGAGTATTTAATATAAAGTAACTTTTGTCCGTGCCTTATATATACTCTTTATTGCATATAAAAAAACAAAAATTACAACTAAGAAGAGAAAATTGAAGGCAAAGGTGGACTTATCTTTAAAAGGGATCTCTTCCAGTCAACCTAGGAGGTGAGAAAGATTGTCATTTAGCGGAGCAGAAAAGTGCAATGTAATATGGAAATAAAGTACAAAAAAACATAGTATATATAAAAATAACATACTACATACATGTAGTATGTTATTTTCTAAGTTTCTGTAAGACTACAGTCTTGGTATAATAAATAACACAAACATATAAGTATATGCCTTCTCCCGTGTAATGGATGAACTTTGAAATATTTTCCGTACCTAAATACCTGTGTGAGTTCGATGATGTTAGAATGTTCCAAACTCTAAATAAATAAATCTAAAACGTTGTTATTCTACAGTACATAAAAACAATAAACTTTATACTATAAATATATTTTTTATGTAATTTATAGAAATATATTTTTATGTTTTAATTTTCAACAGATTTGTGATTTTGTATTAATTAACAGTACCTGGGCTACTGAGCTTCGCTCGGAGTTATTGGCCTAGAGAACACTTTTTTTTTAAACTAAAAACTTGAATAAATATAAAAAAAAAAATCAAAAATAAAAACTTTATATGCGACCGAGATTTGAACCTGAACACTTGTGATTGTTGATCTTGCACCTTGGCCCCTTGACCACGATGTTTATGCCCGAGCATACAAATTACCGACCATATTTTGGGTGGAATAATGCAAAAGAAAACTGCATTAAAACTCGAAAGATTAATTTTATATACTTTTTATGATCAACAGATTTCTCAATAATACTTCTATTACAATAAATAATACTTTTTTCAAAATAAATAATGCTTCATACAAAGAATGACAAAATGCTCTTGAGATAAGCTAATTTAAAATGAACTGGCGGTTGTTATACTCTGCCCGCATCGTGACCACTGTACTAGTAATTAAAAAATATCTATATTTTTAATTCTTAAAAACATATTTTTAATTTATATTGTAAAAGTTATAACAAATAAACAAGCTAGCTCTTAGTCTATACTGTAATAGATGCCTGCAAGGAAAACGATTGTAACTCAGTATTGTATTAATGTTCAATTTGGATTATAAAATTTATTTATGTTTTATCTCAATACGAGTTACAATGTTGTTCTTTGCAAGTATCGATTTTAATAACAAGGTAAAAGCATATCCATCATCTGTAATTAAAGGAGGTTTTTTTATTTCTTATTGAATACTAGGTACGTTTTAATTTTTTTGAGCGAGACTCCATTTCTCTTTCTAAAATAAAAGTAACCTAAGTTACTCCTTATGACATCAGCTATCTGCCAATGAAAGTCCTGTTAAAATCAGTGCAGCTGTTTCAGAGATTAGCCCGAACAAACAGACAGGCAGATAGACAGACAGAAAAAAATAAAAAGTGATTTTTTTTTATAAGTACCGTATATAATTTCATATGCATTTAGTAAAAAGCTGTTTTGACATTACAAACAGACACTTGCAATTTTATTTATCAGTATGTATAGATAGTGTAAGATACACTATAAATATATGGCATAAATAAACTAATACAAATTATTATTATTACTTTGAAGGATATGAAGCGAAATTTCAATTAATAAATTCCATCTCCAAGGGAGGAATGATGGTTCTGAACTGGCCCCTTTTGAGGCCAAGATGATTCTGAATAGGAGCGGAGCATGAATTTTGGGGGGCCCTAGATTGACACTTCTTGGGGGCCTAAACTAATTGCCATTTTGTCTTTATAAAACCTATAATGATAAATAGTACTAGATGAAATTAAGATAACGTTATTGTTTACTTCCTTATTGACTTCAGTGTTATTAACCTTTCATGGCCTTAATTTTTATATTAGATTACTAGACTCATCCCTTTCCAATAACGTATAGAAGTCTGCCCGATTTGTTGACAATTATGATTACTGCTCCGCTCCCTTGGGTAGTAGCATGATGATATATAGCTTATAGCGTTCCTCAATAAACGGGCTATCTAATGCAAAAAGAATTTTCAAATCAGATAAGTAGTTGCTGAAACAAGCGCATTCAATCAAAAAAACAAACTCTGCCTCTTTATAATATTAATAATAGTATAGATTTTTTATTTTATAAATTCATAATATTTATAAATTCATTATATTTTTCAACAGGGGGCCCGTTATATCTTAGGGGCCCTGGCCCAAAAAATCCTATATATAGATCGGCCCCTAATTCTGAAGACAGTTTTAGTAAAAAATAACTAAATGTCGTTGGTCCCACAGTCAGAATACATAGCACCAGTGGACGCTAGAAGAGAATGGATATCAGGGTTCACAGGGTCCGCCGGTACTGCGGTGGTGACAGGCACACACGCGCTCGTGTGGACGGACGGACGGTATTACACGCAGTTCGAGAAGGAGGCAGATCTCGAGATATGGACGCTTATGAAGCAGTGTGAGATGCTTTTTTTTAATGGGAATAGAAAAATTATAAAAATTTTTTTTTATTGGAACATGAAAGAACATTTACAATTTCAGTTATGAACGACTAGCGGTCACGTCCAACAGACTCGTTTTTAGCATTTTTTTTCATGTACAAACATTCGACCTCTACAGTTTTGTTATATGTATAGACTAGGAACTTACACTCCCTTCCCTCGGGTATGTCTTAACTCTTATGTAATTTGGTATTTTATAATAGTCTGTGAAATACAGGCAGAGATTCTCTCAAAATAATAATTATCAATCTATTTTCTAAATTTCATCCAAATCAGTCCAGCGGTTTTAACGTGAAGTAACAAGCATACACAAATAAAAACTTTATCAATTAAAATAGTATGTAGTCCAAATGTGATAGCGTTTCTTATTATCATGGCTCTTAGCAAAAATGCGAAAAATCGGACAATATAAATACGTCGGTACATTAACACACAGCACCATCTATTTCCATCGTTAGCTACGGGGCCTGTGTTATGGATACCAGATAGTTGATACACTACACATATATAACTTTAAATACATACATATATATATATATATATATATATATATATATATATATATATATATATGTATATATATATGGCATATAAATATCCATGACAGGCATACAAACATACGTGCTCATCACACAAATGAATGCTCCCAGCGGGACTCGAATTCGCGACCGCTGCTACAGAATGTAGGGTCACTACATTAAAAACTGAGCTAAAAATCACTATGCTATCAATACTAATAAATTATTAAAAAAAAACTAAGTAACCTCCTTTTTTGAAGTCGGTTAAAATGCTAGAGCAAGCTTATTAGAAATATATTTTGGACTTTAAATTCACTAAAGAGTAAAACCACATGACCATTGAAGATAGACTATATTTTTGGTCCTTTCCAGCACTACCAGAAACACCGACCATGGAAAAATGGTTGACAAGTAACCTCATAGCGGGGTCGTTAGTGGGGGTCGACCCCCATACTATGTCTAGGGATGAATGGACCCCTTTACAGGTATGTTTTATTGATGGCTTAAATTAATTAAAATATACTCGTAGTTATTTTTTATAATTTTGACTGTGAACTGATATACATAGTCGATTATTGGTAGAAGTAAATATTTATAGTGAGAAATTGTATTTATAGTCTAAGGTCCAACGTAAGGTCATCTTAACTCATCAGCTTACCGGTTGAAATGAATTTTGTATTAAAGAAATTGAAATAATTATTAGAAATAAAATAATAAATAAAAATAAGGAAAAAAATAATAATAAACGTAAATACAAGTAGATACTTCGACTATAGTCTAGGGTCCGACGTGAGGTTGTCTTACCTCATCTGCTTACCGGACTAAAATAATTTTGCATTAAGCATAAATTGAATTGAAGTTCAGAAAATTGTTAATATTATTATTATTTTCAGACAGCATTAACTAAAGCCAAAATGCATTTAATAGCAGTTGACAATAATTTAGTCGATGAAGCGAGGTCGCAGTTGAAAGAACCCCCGCCAGAGAGACCCCACAACGAGATTATGTACTTACCCTTAGAGTTTACAGGTAATAATTTCCTGGGTTCGATTATTAAAAACTAGTGATTCGCCCTTGCTTCGCACGGGTTCGTCCCTAGTTACATATATTTTGACGCTTAGTATGGAATAGATGTATGATGAGTTTTATATTCCTTATTTGAGATAGATTTCCACATACAAACTCGCCCCCCCCCTCTCCTCCCCACCCTTTTCAGCCCGTTAAGTGATGATTTCTAGGATAAAAACTATTATGTCCTTCTCAGGGTCTCAAACTATCTCTATAACAAATTTCATCTAAATCGGCTTAGCGGATTTTTAATGTATCCATTACAAACAAAAATCCATTTTTTTCTCTCTTTATAATATTTGTACAGATTAAAATTAAAAAAAGTCATTAAATTATTATGATTTAGCTAGATTATGATCTGGAGTAACATATTATAGGCATCTGTTCAAAACTAGTTGGCTTGTCTCGGTGAGACTAGTCACCGATCTCAGAACAAATGGTTTTTTATCTAGTTTTAATTTATGCAGTTAAATAAAATTGAAGTGTCTGTGTGTAATGTCAAAATAACAGCTTTTTACTGAATGCATATGAAAGTATATACGGTACTTATATGAAAAACACAATTTTTAAATTTTTCGACTGTTTGTCTTTCTGTCTGTTTGTTTCGGCTGATCTCGATTTTGACCGATTTCGACCGATTTTGACGGGACTTTCACTGGCACATGAGACTGAGATAATATAAGGAGTAACTAAGGCTACTTTTATTTTAGAAAAAGAATTAAGGTTTCGCTCAAAAAAAACGTACCTAGGGTCGCTAGTTTTTATAAAGGTTTGAAATTTTGTATGGAAAATAAATTATTTTGACACCATCTCACTGATTCGATGAAGTAGCCAGGAGCTGATAGTGGAACTCTTCATGGTTACACCATAGAGTTGGGGCTCGTTTGATTCGTTTTGAAAAACCCCACATTACAATTGTTGGTCTGAAGAAACTTTTTTTTAAATTATAATATATATGTATTTTTTTCTATTTAAGGTAAACCTGCTGGACAGAAAATAAAGGATTTGAGAAAAAAAATGGATGAGAAACATGCATCGGCCCTCGTTATCACGGCTCTGGACGAAGTTGCGTGTAAGGTTTTTTATTTATTTACTGATTTCTCTCTTAGATCCGGAGTTTCCGAGTTCGATTCCCAGATCGGGGCAAGTTTAGTTATTAAGTTTTTCTATTAAGAAACGATTGCGATTGTTTATGGTTAATTGATATATAATGTTATCACCCCCAGGTAAATTTCTAAGAAATTAATGAAATTTCTAAAAAATCTATTGTTAACTGAAACATCGTGGAGGGATTAAAAATATATATATTGACAATTGGTATTCTGAGTATCTATAAATATGAATAAATCTATACATATAATTAAATTGTAACTAAACTGAATCTGTACATTAAATATTTTTTGGAAAATCTTATTGAAATAAACATTATTGATACAGAGGCCGAATCTATAGTTTTTAGAATTTTTGTCTGTCACTCTGTCTGTTACCGCATCACAGAAAAACTACGGGAGGGATTTTGATGAAATTTGGTATGGTGATAGCTGGTTATATGGGTCAACATATAGGATACTTTTTACTTCGGGAAAATGTCTCATTTCTGAGAAAAAATGCAAAAACTGCAATATAAGAGTATACTAATATGTAAAACCTAAGAATTTGATTTTGGTCATCTGAACGCGGGCGGAGCCGCGGGCAATGCTAGTATATTATAAAAATAAAAAACCAGGCTAAATAAAGGCTAACTAGATGAAAACAAGTTGACGAAGGAATATAGTATTATGCAGTCGGAGACACACGTTTCATCCTTGCCGCGGGATGTACACTCGTATGTAAAGGCAATAAATAAAGATATATGTACATAAGTAATATGATTTATTATTATATGTTTTTTTTATTTTCTCAGATACACTAAACCTTAGAGGTAGCGACATAGACTATAATCCCGTATTTTTCTCTTACCTCCTTATAACTATGGATAAAGTGGTGCTTTTTTGGCACGATGGAGAGATTCCCAAGGAAATAACGAAGAGATTGTCAAAAGAAGGGGTAGAAATGGAAGGGATGAAGTATAATGAGACTTGTTTAGCTTTGAGGAAGTTAGCCGTAAGTATAATAATACTTGTATGTATGTATGTATTCAGCCCTTTTTAACGTCCCATTGCTGGGCGAGGGCCTCCCTTCCATACGAGGGGGATCAGGCCACAGTCCCCCACGCCGGCCCAGTGCGGGCGGACTGAGCATGTCTGCAGACAACTCGCTAGGTTCTCTCGGACATGCAGATTTCCTCACAATGTTTTCCTTCACCGTAAGACAAGTGGTGATCATGTTGATGAAACATGAAAATATCAGATGTGCGAGATCCGGGATTTGAATCCGCTTCACTCGGTTTTTCAAGCGAGCGCGTTACCACTGGGCTACCACTGCCTTAAATACTTATACGTAATAAAACTTATTGACGCTAAATTCAGCACACAATCAGCGGTAATGTAGCTCCTTATTAACACCTCCATGTAAATTTCTAAGAAATTAATTAAAATTCTAAGAAATGTATTGTTAACTGACACGCCGGCGTGTCCGCGGTCGTGGAGGGATTAATGAAAGTAGTTCCAGTCATCGGATCAGTAGTTTCAGAGATTACCCCCTACATACACACTTACAGACTTTACTTCTTTATAATATTACCAGCGATTTACCCTCGCTACGTTCGAGATCGTTCGTGGATTTTTAATTATTTTAAGCGGAACCCTAATTCCTTTTAATTCTATTTTTTTTATTTAATTCTAAAATAAAATAACCTAAGTTACTCCTTATAATATCAGCTATCTGCCAGTGAAAGTCTCATAAAAATCGATCCTACCGTTTCGGAGATTAGCTGGAACAAACAGACAAACAAAAAAATTTTTTTCTTATAAGTACCGTATATAACTTCTAATGCATTTAGTAAAATGCTGTTATTATGACATTACACACAGACGATTCAATTTTATTTATCTGTATCGATTATTTTACATATGAAATGATTATTATTTACATTGTATATTTTTAGCAAGAATTATCAGAAAATGGCGACGGTGAGCATTCAATATGGCTGTCCGGTGATGCGAGTGAAGCTGTACATAGAGCTGTTTCTGGGGTAAATAATATAATATTAATGTCATAGAAACCCCTCTTTTTTGACATCGGTTAAAATACAGCTTTATTCAATTATTCACATATATTAATAATCACTTGGATTTACTCAAATATTTGATATTTTGAATGATTTTTATCTTTTTGGGTTTTTAAACACAATCAGCGGCAAAGAATGTCCTCACCGAATGAGCGCTCATTTGAACATTTGAGTGCGCTTTTATTTTTTTTTTGTGAAAACAACTTTAAGCTTTGCATTTAAAGTTCAATTTACATTGTTGTATATTTATTTCAACTAGAACAATTACCTAAACACAATCGGTGACAGTTTTGAGAGAACTTTTGCATGGGATTGTGTATCTTATATATATAAATTTTTTTATCGATACTTTTTTTTCGCCGATTTATTTTGATTTTTGGTTCCCGACGTTTCGAATTTTGTCGGTATGCCCTGTCTGTAACAACTATAATGATCTTTGAGACGTCTAAAATCTCAGTCTCTCCCGTGACCATGTGCGCTGTAACACATTCGAAATGTCGGGAACCAAAAATCTAAATAAATCCGCGAAAAAATCCGAAATACGGTTTCATTCACATATATTTTTATTTTTTCAAAAACACAGACAATATTTTTATACATATATATAATTTTTCAGGAGGGCGTATTGAAAAAACCTTTAAATTTAATATCAGAAGTGTCTCCGGTGGCTTTAGAGAAGTTGGTCAAGAACAAAGTGGAATTAGAGGTATGACTACAAATTATACAACAACGTCCCCCGCCGCGTCTGTCAGTATGTACGTGATAAACTCAAAAACTACTAAACAAATTTTCATACTATTCTACCAATAAATAGAGTGATTCATGAGGAAGGTTTAGGTGTATATTTAATTAAAGTTTTGTGTAAATTACCTGAAATATAACGGTAATTGTAGAAGATGTCGGAAAAAATCACGCAGATTGGGAGCTTCATTATCGCGCGTACATCGATAGAGTTTTATAAAAACAATATATTACGGAATTAGTCCTCTTATAGAAATGCATTAAGCAATTGTTTTTATCCGACTGCGGAGAAGCAAAAAGGAGTATTGTGTGTTTGACCTGTTTTAATATATGTATGTCCGATCCTATGTCCCCTCCCTAAACTGCTTAACCGATTTTAATGATTTGTACATTATTAGATTTGTCTTAATAACGCGCTTTATGGGTATTATAAAAAATCAATATGGCGGACTCTTTTTTTATTTTTTTTATGCAACCCCATGATATGGATATCAAATGGAAGGGTTTGCTGAGAACAATATGAAATAAAAGTAAAAAACATTAAAAAAAAGTAAGTTTTTATTTAAATTCTGAAAAAAAAATTGAGAAGTGTGACTTCTTATGTACGTTCATAATTACACACACATTTTTTTTTCATAGTTTCCATCTTCTTTTCTAACCAGGGTTTCCGACAGTGTCACATCAGAGATGGCATAGCTGTGGTTCGATTCTTCAGATGGCTTCATTCCCAAATAGGCGAAGGCGCTTCGGTCACCGAGGTGCAGGCGGCCGACAAGTTGCTAGAATTTCGCAAGTAAGTAAATATAAATAAATATAAATATTTGTTGGGACATAACACACAGCGCCATCTAGTTCCATTGTAAGAGGCCATTCATTAATTACGTAAGGATGATTTGACGATTTTTGACACCCTCCCCCCCCCCCCCCCCACCCCCATTTAAGGATACATAAGATTTCCCGAACCCCCTCTGCCTCTTCTTACGTAAGATAAAACGTTCTTAGAATTAAAAAATGATCAGTTACACTAAAACTCACAGTTTGACGTAAATTAAAGATTTTTATTTTTTAGCTGATAATTTAGATTATAATCTATCAATGCTATCATATAAATGATGAAAATGAACATAAATTTCATTTTTATAAAAATAAATTTCGATTTGTAAAATATTACGCAGGAACGGGTTTTAATTCCTCCCCGCCAGATAAGGGTATGTATAGATTTTCTTAACCCTCCCTCCCCCTGGGGACCCTTACGTAATTAATGACCCCTTGACTACGAGGCCTGTGTTATGGATACCAGATAGTTGATACACTACACATATATAACTTTAAATACATGTAATATATTTAAACGAGCAATTATTGTATATTTATTTATTTATACCGGTGATCTCGGAAACGGCTCTAACAATTTCGCTGAAATTTGGTATATAAAATCAATCTAGATTTTCTTTCGCATTATTCTACGCAAAATATAGTCGCTAATTTCGCACGCTCGGGCATAAGCATCGTAGTCGAGCGGCCAAGGTGCAAGATTGACATCACAGGTTTCTGGGTTCGAATCCCGGTCGGATACAAATTTTTAATTTTTGTTTTTTTTTCTATTTAGGTATTCAAGTTTTAAGTTTTTTTTTATCTAAAAATACGATATAACAAGAAAGAACTCCGAGCGAAGCTCGCTCGCCAAGTACTTATTATAAATATAAACCCACGACTGGAGCATAAACATTCATGCTCATCACACAAATAAATGTCCCCAGCGGGACTCGAACCCGCGACCGCTGGCACAGCAAGTCAAGGGCAAGGGTCACTACAAATCGAGCCAAACGTGTCGTCAGTTAGTGGGTTTTTGGTTCTATTTTTGTTATCCCGTGGGATAGCGATTGTTCTTTTTGAAGTAATACTTCTATTGGCGCGTTATGAAAAATGAATGATGAGTCATGAGAGTGATTTTTTTACGATGCGACAGATTTAGACTACAGTATGAAGTTATAGTAGGGGAGCCCAAGAGGGGATTTTTGTAGTTACTCAAGCGCGGCAGATTAACATAAAAGAGGTTACCTTGCACTCTATTGAGTACTTTCACCATAATATAAGTCTTAGTATTAAATTGGATACTTTTCAGGATGTGACTAGCCTACCACACCTTAATCTGACGGTTTCAAGTATTTCTACCTTATCAAAACATTTTTTAAATATTTTAATCAGCTTCCCTAGACGCGCCCCTTTATATAGAAGACTTATATTGTGGTGAAAGTACTCAATAGAGTGCAAGGTAACCTCTTTTATGTTAATCTGCCGCGCTCGAGTAACTACAGAAAATCCCCTCTTGGGCTCCCCTACTATTAGTCGATAATGGCTACAGTGTTAAGTTAGTTGTTAAATCTCCCTTTAGTATAGTGAGATGTACAACTTATGAGTGTAACACAATAAACAGTGATATGATTGTATATCCAATATGGCGGACTCCCAATGATGGCGGATTTTTTTTATGTACCCTCCTAATATGGATATCAAATGATTGCTGAGAAGAATCGGATTATCCATACTAATATTATAAATGTGAAAGTGTGTTTGTTTATTTGTTTGTTTGTCCTTCTTTCACGTCAAAACAGAGTGACGAATTGGTGTGATTTTTTGTGTAGAGATATTTGGAGGGCTGGAGAGTGACCTTGGCTACTTTTGACCGCTAGAGATTATCTCATTCCCACGGGAAAACACCTTATATTAATTTTGAAATTACAAACAAATCCATATAAAAAAAAATAATAAAAAAAGTGTTATTATTATAACCGACATAATCGTCGTCCGTGAACGTGAACATTAAAATTTTAATACTTTCTTAGATATACGCGAATATTGGCATTCTAAATAAAACTAACTTTTCGGTTTTTTTTTGGGGAATTATTTTGATTTTTGGTTCCCGATGGACCGGGTTTAGTTTGATTAATTTATGGAACCAATAAATCCGCGAAAAAAACTGAACAAAATGTTTTATTTATATTTAAATACTTAAAATCCCAAAGCATCAATAATTTTATTTATTTATTTAAAAGAGAGGAAGATCTATTCATGGGGCCGTCGTTTGAGACGATCCCGGGGGCAGGGGAGAATGGCGCTATAATTCACTACAGCCCGGCCCGGGATGGGCCCCAGCGGGAGATACGTCCCGCGGACATGTTCTTGTTGGACTCTGGTGGGCAGTATAAGTGAGTATGTTGTGATGGTATTCCGTGGGATTTGGAATTCGTTTTTTTTTTCAAGTATAACTTCATCGTTGATTGGCTCCGATGGGAGATACTTTCACATGTGAGTATGGTGTCCCATGGGAATAGGCGAGTTGTGAGAGAAAGCGAGTGAATCCCGGGTTTTGGTTCTTTTTAAAGTATGCTTTCGTCATCCACTATAGTTCGTCCCGGGATGGGATAAAACGCGAGGTACGTGGATGTGTTTTTTTCTAATTGACTTGGAGGACAGTATAAGTGAGTGAGTGTATCCCGTGGAGTTGGCAAAAGAAACCCTGAGTGTAGGTTTTTTTAAATATGCTTTCATTATCCGCTACATCTATCTACATCCGTTCCAGGATGGAATACAACCCGAGATACATACGTCCTGCGGACATTTACCCGTTGCACAGTATAATGAAGTATAATATCCCGTGGGATTTGGTGGCTTTTAGAGAGATCCGGGGCCCGGGATTTTGTTGTTATCACCCGACTGCAGTGAAGTCCAAATTTTTAATACCTTCAATTGCTCCATTGAATCAACATAAGTAGGTTTTAAAAAGTGATTAGAATAATATTATATTATATGTATAGAACAAATCACACTGTAAGCTTAATAGCCAATAAAACAACTCCACTTTCTTAATCGACTTCAACAAAACATGTATGTGTGTATGTTTACATGTTTTTTATCTATACCAGGGACGGAACGACAGACATAACTAGAACCAGACACATGGGCGACCCCTCGTCTGCTCAGAGGGAGGCCTTCACCCGAGTGCTTAAGGGACAGATAGCTGTGGGGTCGGCCTTGTACCCTAAGGGGGTTAAGGTGAGGGGTTTTTTAAATACTTATATTATATCTTTGTCAAACAATAACAACGTTACCATGGCAACATGGCAATGTATTCTATCTCATTCTCTCGCCGGCTTATATATATATATATATATATATATATATATATATATCGAGTTTCAAATTACAACGATTCTAAAGAAGTTGCACTTCAAAATAATATAAACGTTTACCCTACCGTAGGGCAACGTACTGGACACCCTAGCGCGCAAGGCCCTATGGGACGCGGGGCTGGACTACGCGCATGGCACGGGGCACGGCGTGGGGCACTACCTCAACGTGCACGAGGGACCCTCGGGCGTGTCCTGGCGGCCCTACCCGCACGACCCCGGCCTGCGGGAGGGGCAGATCCTGAGTAATGGTTAGTGCTTAGGGTGGAGCAAAAAAAAAAACTTTTGTTTTTTTTTCTTAGCTTTTGGGATTAGAATTTGTAGCTTATAAAAAAAGAAAATTTTTGAAAAAAAATTACTAATCATTGTGAGGTGGCCCATTGATTTTTAAAAAAATACTTCATTCAATTTTTTGGTTTGAATGATTTTTTTTCGATTGATCCCCTTCGAACACATTCAAGAATCGACAAATATAGTATATTTTTTACCCAACTTTTACTATGATACAAAAAAGACCAAATCTTACCCCGAAGCTAAGAAAAAAAAACATTTTTTTCCACTCCACCCTATTAATGCTGTACGCAATACGTTACAGCTATTGTTTTAAAAAAATATTTCATGTACAGATTTTGCTAAGTTCCTATTTTATTATTTATATAGATTAGTATATTCAGTTATCAACATAAACATACATACACACATAGATATTTCATTTCAACACATCATAAACACATAATATATACATACACTCGAAAAACATAACCCTCCATTTAACGCCGTCGGATAAACAAATAATATTTTTTTAATTCCTTCAGAGCCGGGTTTCTACAAAGTTGGCGAATATGGCATAAGACATGAGGATCTTGTGGAGATCGTTAATGTCACCAAAGATTCTGATCATCCCAGAGTGAGTATTCTCATTCTGTCCTCTTGTCTCTTCTCTTTTTGAAGTTTTCAAATAACTTGTTACTAGTATACTACTAAGGTCGTGGTAGCCCAGTGGTAACGCGCTCGCTTGGGAAACCGAGTGAAGCGGGTTCAAATCCCGGGTATCGCTCTGATATTCTCATGTGCGAATCATTTCCAACATGATTACCACTTGTCTTACGGAAGGAGAACATCGTGAGGAGACCTGCATGTCTGAGAGAACCTAGCAAGTTTTCGAAAGACATGCTCAGTCCGCCCGCACTTGGCCAGCGTGGTGGACTATGGCCTGATCCCCCTCATATAAATGGGAGGCCCACCCCCAGCAGTGGGACGTTAAAAAGGGCTGAACACGTACATACTACTATAGTATTATATGTATAATCTTGTATTCCACTCTTTTTAACGTCCCACTGCTGGGCGTGGGCCTCCTTTCAATACAAGGTCAGGTCGAATGTCTGTACATAGAAAAACTAATGCTAATAACCGAGTCAGGTGGATGTAAGAAGAGAAATAGAACAAATTCCGTTTTTTTTTTCATTTTTTTTGTTTCTTTGTCTGTTTGTCTGTTTGTACGGGCTAATCTCCGAAACTGTTGGACCGATTTTAATGAAATTTAGCATGGTGGTATCTTTTTATCCCGGAAAATTAAAGTGTTCCCGTGGGATAGTTAAAAAACTATAGTAACTTATACAGCTCTGTACACAAAAACTACTGATTGCATTTTACTGAAACTTTACAATAATATAGTTCATACATCATAATAACAAATAGGCTACTTTTTATCTCGGAAAATCGTACGGTACCCGTGGGATAGGTTTGTTTTTGTTTGTCCATTATACAGTCTGTAATAAAGAAATTCTTTTCTCAGGCAAAAGACCTGCTCGGTGACTTCGATGGGCGCGGCGTGTTGGGCTTCCACACGCTCACTCTGGTTCCAAATCAAAGGGAATGTATGGAATTGGACCTGTTGAATGATTTTGAAGTGAGTATTTTATATTAATACTGTAGGCACGCACATACATATATATATAATATACACACACATCCGTTTTATACTTTTCTATTGAAGGTATATTTCTTTTGGCACGTTTGGAAAAATATATGAGAGAATTTTTACGATGCGCGCGCACACCGACAGCCGAAAAGCGACATGATGAAGTTAGCTGCATTCCTTTTACAAACAGAAAGTTGTGACATACGGGACGAAATTTTTAGCTATTTTTGTTCTGTTACGTGTTTTTTGTTTTAAATCAAATAGATTTAAATAATCCTCTATTGCTGCAACGGCCATAATACTGAAGAAATAAAGATGAGTGCGTGTAACGTTTATGTGTAGTTGATGTAAAACTTCTTGTGGCACTGTGATGCTATATAATATTTTTTTATAAAATTACTCGTGAAAAACAACATACACATCTATCCCACGGGAACCGTACATTTTTCCGGGATAAAAAGCCTATGTGCTATTCCAGGCTATAATATTACACTGTGCCAAATTTCATCCAGATTTGTTCAGCAGTTCTGGCGTGATTGAGTAATAAACATCTATCGAAACTTTCGCATTTATAATATTATGATATATAATTAATTATTATTAATAATGGGGTAGGATTAGTAGTAGATATTCATTTTGATAAATGATAATTATTATAAAAATATAAATATAATTATTTTTTAATTATTAATAATAAATTGGACTCTCACTTCCGCGACACTTATTCTCCCAATGTATTGACTTAAATATAGTTAGGACATTAACACACAGCGCCATCTAGTTCCATGGTAAGCTACGAGGCCTGTGTTATGGTTACCAGATAGTTGATACACTACACATATATAACTTTAAATACATACATATTATAAATATAAATACTCATGGATGGAGTACAAATATTCGTGCTCATCATACAAATAAATGCCAGCGGGGCTTGAACCCGCGACCGCTGGCACAGCAAGTAAGGTCACTACAAACTGAGCCCTCAGTCACGCATAAACAAGTTTTACTTAAAAAAACCTAAAAAAAACACAAAAATAATTAACAATACCTCCTTTTTTCACAGTTGGACTATATAAATTCATATCACAAGCGAGTTTTCGATACTCTGGGACCGATTTTGAAGGAACGCAATTTGAATGACGATTACGATTGGTTGGAGAAGGAATGCGCTGTTATATCTAGGTGAGTGCTTGGTTTTAGCCGACTATCAAAATGGAGGGTTATATATGATAGATCAAATGTTATATCAGATTTGTGTATCCTCCAAAAAATAGCCAATGGCAATTTCAACAGCAAACCGTTCGAAAAACTGGATTTTAAAATTCATACTCACTCGATTCGTCAACTACAACTTTTTAATCTATACATATAATAAAATGTAACCAAGCCGAATCTGTACAAATATTTTTTGGAAAATCTTATTGAAAGAAACATTATTATCGATACAGAGGCCGAATCTGTAGTTTTTAGAATTTCTGCTGTCTGTCTGTTACCGCATCACGAGAAAACCACTGGACAGATTTTAATGAAATTTGGTACGGTAATAGCTGGTTATCCGGGTCAACATATAGGATACTTTTTTCCGCGGGAAAATGTCTCATTTCTGCAAAAAAATACAAAAACTGCAATGTAAGAGTATACTAATATGTAAAACCTAAGAATTTGGTTTTTGGTCATCTGAACGCGGGCGAAGCCGCGGGCAATGCTAGTATACCTTAAAAATATTTCCCAAAACAACCCTTTACACAGAATGTGTAAAACATACAACAATTTATATAATGAATACGACATTTTTAATATTAGTTTTTTATCATTCAAGAAAATAATAATTAAATAAATTATAGTTACTACGTTTTTTTTTTAACTTTACATTTTCGATGATAAGGATATGCTTTCTCTCTCTTTCTTCTCCTTTATCTTTTTTTTCTTTCTCATTTTTTACATGAAATGTAAATTTTATTTTCTTTTTGTTTTTTAATATTTTTATGTAACTTTCAATGCATAGACTGGTACGTAATATTCGCTTTCTGGTTGAGTTTGTTTTTTTTTAACAATAAAAATAGTATGTTTATATAATTATTATATGTTTTTATTTGAATTTTGTGTACAGATATAATTGCATAACAAATTTAGAATGGTATTTTTAATTTTTAATACGTAGATGTAATTTTTTTTATGTGTTTTCTGTTTCTGTACCTAAATAAATAAAACAAAATATCTAAGGAAAGATTTTGTGTTATTTTTTTTCTCTATATACGTAGGATCCGGGGATATCAATAAAAGCGTTATTGACACTAATAACTATTTAGTCTCTTTAAATTATAAAACAAACATACAAAAAAACTTTTTTTTTCGCCTGTATAATATTAGTATAGATTATGTTTAAAATTATTATTTTTTCAGGTCCTGATGGCGCACTGTTAATGAAAATTATTGGTGCATATTATTTATATACATTATTTTATAACAACATGTATTGATATGAACTAATAAATTATATTATAAGCATCTTTGTTTTATTCAACCCCCCACTCACCCCCCACCTTCTCCCGACTTGTCCCAACTCCCCCCCCCCCCCCACTTCATTTGAACTTTGAACTGCGTATTCATGGATGGCGCTTTTAAAACTTTATTAAATTACCCTAGTCTATCTACTTCATGTTTTAATTTAAAAAAAAATCAAATTTTGCGTGATTTTTGGGATATCTTATATAGAGCAGTACATTGTGTGCGGAAACAAGTGCATTTATTTTTTACACTTTCAAAATCGAAAACCATTTTTCGACACTCGCGATAAGAGAGGCGACTGACGCGACACTGCTACCGCCATCTTGTACGAGATATTTTCTTGACAGAAAACCCTTACATTAGGCTCGACCCGGGACTCGAACACAGGATTTCCGGATTTGCAGTCGCACATTCTGGCCTCTAGACCGACGAATCAAGATAATAGCAAAATAGATAAACTTTCTTATCTTTTAGGCAATAATGTTATTTTGTTTATCTTTAAATTATAATCTATTCTTATAATATAAAAATGAATCGCTGAATGTGTTGGTAAGCGCAAATCTCGAGAGCAGCTGAACCGATTTCGCTAACTCTTTTTTTTAGAATATTCCTTGAAGTACGAGGATGGTTCTTATGGAGAGAAAAATTTTAAAAATTGCCTGAAAAAGTCTAAAAACAACACTTTTCTACACTCCCATACAAAAGGTTCGTAATAATACTTAAAAGTCAATTTGAACTTTAATACCATACCATAAAGTTTAAATGTTAGTGGAGAGGTTCCGGGAAGGCAAAACAATTGAGTGACGTTAGTATCGTATAAATATTAATGTCAATATTATTAACAAAAAAAATTAAAATGTATATCGCTAACGCTGGTTAATAACTATCTATACTATAATAAAAGAGTAGAGGACGAATGTCTGTACATATCAAAAAAATGTTAAAAACCGAGTCAGGGCGATGTAAGAAGACAAATAGAACAAATCCAGATTTTTTTCAATTTTTTTTGTTTGTCTGTCTGTTTGTCTGTTTGTACAGGTTAATCTCCGAATCTATTGGACCGATTTGAATGAAATTTTGGATGGTAGTACCTTATATCCCTGGGCAACATCTTAAATACTTTTTATCCCGGAAAATAAATAGTTCCCGTGGAATAGTTAAAAACTATAATAACTTATACAGCTTAGTACACAAAAACTACTGATTCAATTTTAATAAAACTTTACAATAATATAGTTCATACATGATAATAACAAATCGGCTACTTTTCATCCCGGAAAATTAAAGGGTTTCCGCGGGACAGTCAAAAAACTATAGTAACTTATACAGCTTGGTACACAAAAACTACTGGATTTTGATGAAACTTTACAAGAATATAGGTCGTACATCAGAATAACAAATAGCTTACTTTTTATCCCGGAAAAATGTACGGTTCCCGTGGGATAGATGTTTTCGTTTATTTGTAACGTATTATGTACACAACATAGACCCCAAAACCATAGTTATTAAAAAATTGTCTGTTTGTCTGTTTTTGTATGCGCGTTTCACGCGTAAATAACCGATTTCAACGAAATTTGGTGAAGTGATAACTTATTACTCGAGTCAACGTTTAGGATACCTTTTACTTCAAGAAAATCTTTCTTTTTTCGGGAAGATACAATAACTGCTTATAAATATTTTAACGACTCTACACAAAATTATATAAAAAAAATTACTATACCTTGACTAATATATATTAAAACATTTTATGTAAGTATTGTACACGTAGAATATGTTATGTATTGTAAGCGGTCATCACTGTAAGACTACGTCCACTGAAGCTAATTTACAAAATTAATGTCTCCGAGTGTACAAAATTTGACCATAATCATTATTAGAAATTTGAGGAAAATTAGTGAATTTAGATTTTTTTGTAACTCTAAAGCTTGTTAAGAGGTATTTAACAAATAACACAAAAGAAAGTCGAATGCAAACGGAGGAGAAAAAGATTCTGAAGTGTTTTGTCTTTACCTATTTATATATAGGTTATATTCTTACCAAATCATCATAATTGTTGACATGTTCAGTGGAATCAGAATAAGGCACAAGTAGAAGTGCTGTGTAAGAGTGGAAAGCTACGTATAATAAAAGGTTATCTATATCTGAAATATAGTCGGAGAGAGTCTGGGTCTCGATTTCAGAGAAAGGACGGGAGCCTGCGTAGAGCTGATAGTCGCAAGGGTTGCTAGATGTTGAATATTCTGGAACAAATATAATGAATGATACAAGTGGCTGACGACACGTTTGGCTCAGTTTGTAGTGACCCTACTTGCTGTGCGGTCGCGGCGGGTTCGAGTCCCGCTGGGGGCATTCATTTGTGTTTTGGGCACGAATGTTTGTACTCCAGTCATGGGTGTTTATATTTATAATATGTATGTATTTAAAGTTATATATGTGTAGTGTATCAACTATTTGGTATCCATAACACAAGCCTCGTAGCTTACCATGGAACTGTTAATGTCCCAACATATATAAAAAAAATACGTCTAATTTCTGAGAAAAAATGCAAAATCTGAAATAGATTATACTAGTATGTAAAACCTAAGAATTTGGCTTTTGGTCATCTGAACGCGGGCGGAGCCGCAGGGAATGCTATATATTTATATGTACGTATAGTTATACTAATGTTCGATTTCACCAACAACCCATAAGCTACCACCACCTACGATTTTACGATTGTCTTTATGCCCATATTTCGAGCACCTAAATTTAGGGGGCCTTTTAATGTTTAGGTGACCCCTAACTGTCGATGAAACAGAAACTGTCCCCTAACAGCCCCCTAACCATGCTTAGGGGATCCCTTAAACTTAGGTGACGTTGGTGAAATCGAGCATAAGCCATTTAACTAATTTCTTGAAATCTAATCAAAGTAATGGTGAATCACTAATTTTTCATTATCATTCCGTCGTTATCAAATACAATAAATTTGATAACGTTTTCGATAAAATACTAAATCTTTATTAGTGTAAATCCAAAAATGACTATCAAAAGTGTGATCCTATTGATTTATTTATTGTAAGTAATTAATTATTATATTATATTTTTATACTTTTTTAAAACCGACTTAAAATTTTGTTTTTAACCAACTTTATGTTTTTTTTGTCCTGCGTAAATTTTAAAAAGATTTTTTTTTAGGATTTTAAGGTAATTTAGTAATTTTAAATTAAAAATTAATAACGTCATTGCTTTAAAATGAGATGATTATTATATTTATTTAGAAAAAATTCAGTAAACATAGTTTTTTCCCCTTTTTAAGCTGGGCTTGGCTTTCAATTAAAATGAGGCCATAGTCCCCCACGCTGGCCAAGTGCGAGCGGACTGAGCATGTCTGCAGGACAATTCAACTTGCTAGGTTCTCTCATATATGAAGGTTTCCTCACGATGTTCTTCACCGTAATACAAGTGGTCATCATGTTGGGAATGATTCGCAAATAAGAATAGCAGAGGTGCGAAACCCGGGATTTGAACCCGCTTCACTTGTTTTCTCAAGCAAGCGCGTTACCAATAAACTACCCCTACATATAGAGTAATTTGACTTTGCCACTTTTTAAATAAAACTATCATTTCGGATTTTTTCGCGGATTTATTTAGATTTTTGGTTCACGGGAGAGACTGTGATTGGTTTTAGACGTCTCAAAGTTCATTATATATAGTTGTTACAGGCAGTGCCTACACACAAAATTACCAAATAATTTCAAAAATATACAAATGGCACCTGCACCTTAAAATATTTACTAATTTTAAACATTTTTATAATTTAAATATACATACATATATATTTTTTATTTACAATAAATAAAATTACAAATATACCTAATTATTTATATATACAAAACAAATGTACATTTAGTAATCACTGTACAAGTCATGTCCGCGTGGAATAGTGGCGCATTTCCCCGTTGAATGGCAATGCTGATTCTTTGGGTGGAAAACGAGCTCTCCTGTTACCAGTAGAGGCGATAAGACGAGGTGCTATGTCTTTGAAGTGTTTAGCACTTTGACTCCATGGACCAAGGGTTTCAACAGCAAAAATAATAGTTTTTTTATAATTTTAATAAGGTATTATAATGGGATATGAAAATATTATTTATTAAATTTTATCTGTAATTATTATATTATATATATATATATATATATATACATATATATATATATATATATATATATATATATATATACTAGCGACTCACCCCGCTCGGGTTCGTTCCTAGTAAAAATTTAGGTTTGTATGTATTTTTTAATGCCGAATAATTTTTTTTTTTGGGGTGGACCACCCTTATCACTTAGGGGTATGGAAAATAGATAGTAGCCGATTCTGACTGAATACGCATATAAAATTTGGTAAAAATCGGTGAAGCCGTTTCGGAGGAGTACGGTAACAAACATTGTGACATGGAAATTTTATATATATATATATATATATATATAAAATATTAATTTGTGATCTTATATAGTGCAGTAGGTTTGCTGTGAAGAAGTCGAAACTTCGGGAATCAAAAATCAAAATAAATCTGCGAAAAATCCGCAAAGATAGTTTCATTTAAAATGTCAAATATTCGAAATCATATTCAAAAAAGAAAATATTATGTTGAGTTTCCCTAACTCCAGTAAAGAGAGTGTATACTGTGTATGAAATTAGCTGGATTACGACACATTTGGCTGTTTGTAGTGACCCTACTTGCTGTGCCAACGGTCGCGGGTTCGAGTCCCGCTGGGGTATTCATTTGTGCGATGAGCACGAATGTTTGTACTCCAGTCATGGGTGTTTATATTTATAATATGTATGTATTTAAAGTTTTATATGTGTGGTGTATCAACTATCTGGTATCCATAACACAAGCCTCGTAGCTTACCATGGAGTTAGATGGTGCTGTATGTTAATGTCCCGACATATTTATTTAATTTATATGTGAATATAACATTTAAAATATATTTTTCAGTATTAGCATAGTTTGTGGCGACGTTCCTGCGAACTATGACGACTACGCGGAACCGAATAAACCTGTATATGGTATTTATCATTTATTATGAGCATAAAGATAAATAAAATTGAAGTGTCTGCGTGTAATGTCAAAATAACAGCTTTTTACTGAATGCATATAAAATTATATACGATACTTTAAGAAAAACTCAATTTTTAGAATTTTTGTCTGTCTGTCTGTTTGTTTGTTCCGGCTAATCTCCAAAACGGCTGGACTGATTTTGACGGGATTTTCACTAGCAGTCTGGCAGATAGCTGATGTTATAAGGAGTAACTTTTATTTTAGAAAAAAATTAAAACGTATCCATTAATAAAAGTATAGTAAACACTAGAAGATTAACTCTCATTTAAGAGTTTAAAAGAAATAGGTACAGACAGCAGCTTAAAATTAAAGTAATAGCTTTAAGTAGTGTAGTATTATATGATTTGAGATTTAAGTAAGTCTGTCTTTGGAAATAAGTCAAGAAAAATTGTAAAGTACGGATTTTTGTAGTTCTTAACACACTATATTAACTTCACAAGTTACTAACTGACTAACTATATATACTTAATCAATTACAATAATATGATTTTACTGAACTGATCTGATGAAGAACCCAGGAGCTGATAGTGGAACTCTTCAATGGCTAGGAGCCACCATAGAGTTGGGGCTCGTATGATTCGTTTTGATAAGTACATCTTATTACTATACTAGCGGCTCGCCATCGCTTCGCTCGGGTCAAGACAAACAAAAACAAATCTGTCCCACGGGAACCGTACATTTTTCAGTGGGATAAACAGTAGCCTATTTATTATTCTGATGTATGAACTATATTATTGTAAAGTTTCATTAAAATCTAATCAATAGTTTTTGTGTACTAAGCTGTATAAGTTACTATAATTTTTAACTATCTCACGGGAATTCTTTGATTTTCCGGGATGAAGAGTATCTAAATTGTTGACCGGGGATGTAAGGTACTACCATGCAAAATTTCAAACAGACAGAGACACAAGAAATTTAAAAAAGTCTGAATTGGTTCCATTTCTCTTTTTACATCCTCCTTGGTTGGTTTGGACTTGGTTTTTAGCATTTTTTTTCTATGTACAGACATTCGAGCTCTACAGTTTTATTACATGTACCTACAGATAAGATAAATGCGAAGTTTTAATGGATGGATATTTGTTACTCAAACACGCGAGAACGGCTGAATGGATCTGGATGAAATTTGGCACAGAGATAGATTACAGTCTGGAATAACACATAGGTTACGTTTATCCCGGAAAAATATACGGTTCCTGTGGGATTGATTTGTTTTTTTTTTCGCTAACTACAAACGATTTGGATGAAATTTTGTGTGTATATTTTAATGGGATCCTGGATGGTTTGAAAACACAAATGGACCCAGTAAGTGGGGCTGCAGTCGGTGTGTCACAAAATTTTCATAAAAGACTCTATTTTCCGAGCAATAAATAAATTTAAATTGTTGATTAAATAAAATAAAAATTGATGTGTGTATGTATACTTCCTATAGTCTTCAAAACAGCTGAAGCGATTTTGATTAAATTAATCATCTGATTAGCCCAGCAGGTGATCCTGTGAATTTTGTTAGCAATCGGAAGTTTGGACGCGGGCGAAACCGCGGGTACTCTTTGTTTATATATAGATTATTTTAACATACAAGAGGCTCGGTGGTGTAGTGCTACCATGTACGGCTGCTCATCCGGAGATCTTGGCTTCGAGTCCCGGTTAGTTATTGAGTCTTTCTGTTTAGTAAGACTTAGTAACAGTCCGGAGTTGGGAAGTTGGCGGCATGTCACCACCGTGCCAAGGCAGAGCACGTTTCGCGTCGCTCCTGCACCTAATCTCTCCTCGAGAGTTACAGAAATAGAGAGAGCACGTTGTTTCTGCGCGTACATCGCCACACGCGCTGCACTACAATGTCTCCTCCAGATGGCTAGTCTCAATGAGATTGGCCGCCATGTCCGAAATCGGTCGGGTGGACTTGAATATTATTAAGTTCGATGGGAATCAATCCAAGCTGCCTTTATAGCCAAGTGTATTGTGAACTAAATGTACTTACCTTACCTTTTGTAGTTAAATCATTGGAAATCACTAGCGGAGAAGTACTTAGCCAGATGAAACTGGATGCTGTAAGGGAGATCATGAAGGAATCGACAATTAATGCGTTCATTGTGCCTACCGCTGATGCACATAATGTAAGTGTATAGATATTAGATACTTCTAATATGATAAAAAAAAAATGTATTTTTGGATGTCTGTATGTTTTTTGTTATGGATAAACTAAAAATCTACTGAGCCGATTTAGATGAAAGGTATGAATATAGTTTGTAACCCTGGGAAGGACATAAGATCATGTAGGATATAGGATTTTATCCCGGAAATCATCTCTTAACACGTTCGGCCCAGCGCCGCCGTAAGAAGATTCTCGCATTGTGACACACCGTTTCCCCATACAAATTGGATTTACGTTGATAAACGTTGTGCTCTTCATGTGTGCAAGATTAATTTTTAACGCGACACAAACGTTGAGAGACGTCGACGTTTTATAACGCTGTGTCACATATAGTTCGAGTATTTACCATAAGCTAGAAAACAACGTCAAATCACGTTGACATTAATAAACGCTGCGTCGCATACAGTCACTATAAGGTATAGAAACCTAAGAGCAACGTTTAGTTACGTAGACGTTCATAGACGTTGCGTTACTGAAAGTGAATTATGCTTATGTAAAACGACTATCAAAGTCCTATCACGTTGACATTTACTTTTTGATTTCTTCGGAATCTGTATCTTTGTAACGGTAATTGCGTGAGTTTCTTAGACCTCGCAGTGAGGACTGGTGCGAAGCTGCCAAGATCATAAGACCCAACCATGTTCGGTGGGCCGTAGACTCCTTTAAGCCCTACAAGGCGAGAGGGGAAGACGGGATACCACCAATCTTACTGCAGCAAGGGGTGAACATCCTCCTTCCCCACCTGAATATATAAATCTTCAGAGCGAGCTTCGCCTGGGGATATGTACCAGATATATGGACCCATGTCAGGGTCATATTTATACCTAAAACTGGTAAAAAAGACTATAGCCAGCCAAAGTCTTTTAGACCAATAACTTCATCTCTCTTCATTCTTACTCAAAGCAATGGATAAGGTACTGGATACGTATATAAGAGATGAAGTCTTGACTAAAAGTCCAATCCACTTTAACCAACATGCATATCGTAAAGGCAAATCAACCGAGACTGCCTTTACAAGTCTTATAGACCAAGTGGAAAAGGCGTTAGAAGACAAGGAAATAGCACTATGTGCATTTCTAGATATCGAAGGTGCTTTTGATAACTCTTCTACTTCGCTGTTGGTAAATGGGTTGATAACTAAAAATGTCGACCCAACAACGGTAAAGTGGGTGAAATCTATGCTCACTAGCAGAAAAGCAAAACTAGCCCTCCACGATACAGCTATCTATATATCCACAGCAAGAGGATGTCCGCAAGGGGGAGTTCTATCCCCATTACTGTGGACCCTTGCTGTGGATGAATTACGTCGCTATCGGTATTTATGGATTCTGGATCGTAATCCTTGTCAGTATCGTATCATCACTGAAAGGATCAGGAGTAACTTCCCAAGACGAAGAATCTTCAAATACGTTCAGAAACCCCTTACTGTAGACACGCTTTTTATCCATCTAAAACAATATCAAAATTAAAATATATCAACTAATTATTATAATTATACAAAAATAAATGTAATATACATTTAAATATACACACTTATTTATAATTATTATTAAAAATAAACATATTATAAAAATCTTACGGTTTATCGTTCACTTCAATACGGTTGAGCGACGTTCGCGCAGCACGCGCTCCTCTTGATGCGGCGCAGAACGACAGAAGCTAGCCGCGTCGCTACTCCCCGCGACGTGTACGGACGTTGTGGGTATGCGTATGTGAGCATATGTGCGCATGACGGATGTTAGCAAAATGCCACTAAAAGTTGATTCGTTGCAGCAGTAGACTTTTGAAACTTCCAAACGATGCGGCGCAAATACCTCTTTAGTAGAATATCGTATTGACTCCTGACGTTATGAAACGTAGGGCGAATAAATGCACGTTTAAAGTAGACGTGACTAAACGTTGTTTAATTTCTAATTTTGCCGTCATGAGACGTTGCTGGCCCGAACGTGTTAAGAGGGTCAAAAGTAAATGAATGAAAGAATGAATTACTCTTGATTGTACACCCAAAAAGAGAAAAAGAAAAATATACAATATAATATAGAAGAAGGTACAAGAGGCGGCCTTATCGCTAAAAGAGCGATTTCTTCCAGGCAACCTTTAGGTGTGTAGGAAATAGTACTAAGATAGAAGGGGCGCGAATAACAATATAAAATATAAGTGGGGTGATAGTTTGTAATTCATTTTGGGAATCAATCATTTCTTAAGTAAGGGATGTAAAATTTATCATACCTATTCCATACTAAACGTTAAAACGTAGGTATCTAGGGACGAATCCGAGTGATGTGAGAATGAGTCGTCAGTGTTATATATAGCGGTAATTAGATTAGTAAATAAAGTATATCTAAGTTAATGTGCCTTTTTCCAACAGTCTCAATACATAGTTCCATGCGACGCTCGAGTAGAATGGCTGTCTGGTCTATCAGGATCAACTGGAACCGCCGTAGTCACCGAGAACCACGCCCTGGTTTGGACAGACGCGAGACACTTCACTCAGTTTGAAATAGAAGTGGATACTGAAGTGTGGACTTTGATGAAACTTGGTAAATCCACTATAAATTTAATATCCCATGAACCTCGAGAATCGGTTATGATTTCCGGGATTAAAAGTATCCTATGTCCTTCCCAGGGTCTCAAACTATCTTCTTACCGTTTCTTATGGTTCAGTAGATCCAGATCTATATATGTAGTGTCTCTACTGTCGGCAAGAGAGCTGGAGCATTTTTCGCCCAAAGAATCGACATTGCCATTTAACGGGGGAATGCGGCTAGCATTCTTGCCACTATTCCACGCGGACATGTCTTGTACAGTAATAATTAAGTGTACATTTGTTTTGCATAATGAAGTATATTTCATATTTGTAATATCAATGTATATTTTCTTTCTAGGTATCGATCCTTCAATACAAAATTGGTTAGTATCAAATATGGCACCCAACACTGTGGTGGGCATCGATCCCACTACCTACACTCGTTCTGCCTGGTCTGCTTTAGAGGTCAGTATAAGCAAACTGTAATATTGATACGAACTATGGTTTTGGGATTGAAAATATATACTTTTTCTTATTGTTTTAATTAACAATGAAATAAATAAAAAAAATAGTTAAAAAAAATTAAACCGACTTCAAAAAACCCGACTTCCAAGCACTAAAATGTAAAAATAAATGAACGGCGGTTCCCATTTACTATAGATACCTAATCAGATATTTTCGAAGTCGGTGCCAATCCGGATATTATCTCCAAAACGGCTGGAGTAATTTTGACGAGACTTTCACTGGCAGATAGCTGATATTATAAGGAGTAAATTAGGCTACTTTTATTTAAGAAAAAGAATTAGAATTCCGCTCGATAAAATTAAAACGTACCGCATCCAAGCGAATTCTAGTGTCACAGTATTTGTAACAAAACTCCTCCGAAACGACTTGACCGATTCTTATGAAATTTGGTGTGTATATTCAGTAGGTCTGAGAATAGGATGTAAACTGTGTTTCATACACCTATGTAATAAGGATGGACCACACTAGGGACGAACCCGAGCGGAGCAACGTGAGTCGCTATTAATTTATATATTTTTTCAGACTGCCTTAAACCAAGTAAATGTAACATTAGTGGCTGATTATGATAACGTAGTAGATGAGGCCAGAAGAATCATAGGAGACCCAGCTCCGGAGCGACCTAACGAACCTTTATTGGCACTACCCTATAATTATACAGGTATTTATTGGTACTATAAGATTTTCCTAGCGGTTCTTTTCAGAACTAACGACGACACGTTTGGCTCAGTTTGTAGTGACCCTACTTGCTGTTCCAGCGGTCGCGGGTTCGAGTCCTACTGGGAGCATTCATTTGTGTGATGAGCACGAATGTTTATACTCCAGTCATGGGTGTTTATATTTATAGTATGTATGTATTTAAAGTTATATATGTGTAGTGTGTCAACTACTATCTGGTATCCATAACATAAGCCTCGTAGCTTACCATGGAACTAGATGGTGCTGTGTGTTAATGTACCAACATATATGATGGGATAATTTGATCAATCCTACTAATATTATAAATGTAAAAGTTTGTGAGGATGTATGGATATCCGGATGTATAGATGTATAGATGTTTGTTACTCTTTCATGTAAAAACTAGTGAATGGATTTTAATAAAACTTTACAATAATATAGCTCATGCGTCAGAATAACACGTAGGCTACTTTTTATCCCGGAAAAATGAACGGTTACCGTGGGATAAATTTGTTTCTGTTTTTCTAGAGGCGAATCCCAGCGAAGCGAGGGTAAGCCGCTAGTTCTTTTATAAACATAATCAACAGACTAAAGGACGTTATCGGTGGGATTTAGTGCTGCGATTCGCAGGCAGGAAAGTCGCGTAAGCAATTATAAGATGAACAAGTCCTTTAAATAAAGAGAAAAAAAAGCAATTATAAGATAGGACAAATCAAGATTTATAAAATAAACACCAAAGTTAGCAAATTTACAGGCTAGCCAACTATGGATATTGATATTATAGTGCACAAGCGTGCACGCAAATATAAAGTCCACTTTCCCACTGTTATATATAACACAACCATATTCCGGTGAAACAACTCGGCATTAGAGAGATCAGATTGATTTCATGACAAAAAATCCAGTAACCATTATGGCCCAACCCATAAAGGGATTCGAACCCATGATCTCTCGATTTGCACCCGTACATGCTACCCACTAGATGACTAGACCAACCAGGAAATCTCAGACTTAAAACTCAATTAAATATCACTTTCTTCTCAGTTAAAAATAACAAAAACAAAGACTAATTAAATTTGATTATTATTAGTGTATGTAATATTCCTTCAGCCCTTTTTAACTTCCCACTGCTGGGGGTGGGCCTCCCTTCAGTACGAGGGGGATTAGGCCATAGTCCACCACGCCGGCCAAGTGCGGGCGGACGGCACATGTCTTTCGAAAACTTGCTAGGTCTTTTCAGACATGCAGGTTTCCGCACGGTGTTTTCCTTCATCGTACGACAACTGGTAACATATAAATATGTTGAACATGATTCGCACACGAAAATATCAATGTGCGAGACTCGAAATTTGAACCCGCTTCATCCGGATCCCAAACGAGCGCGTGACTTCTGGACTACATATTTTTTTCTACATACTTTTTTTATTAATTTCAGGCAGAAACTCGAGCAGTAAAATATCTGATCTTCTGTCCCAAATTCGAAGTCGTGGAGCATCTGCATTAGTACTGTCAGCATTAGACGATATAGCATGTAAGAATTTACTTGATTGGACTACTAATATAAATACAAGTTTGTATGTTTGTTACTCATTCAGACTTAAACAACTAGACCGATTTGAAAGCGATTTAGGCTGGAGTAACACATAGGCTTGTTACTGATTACTAATAAAATTTTGTACAGTTGTAGATTATCTATACAGATAAATAAAATTGAAGTGTCTGTGTGTAATGTCAAAATAACAGCCTTTACTTACTAAATGCATATGAAATGATATAATATTATAATTATCAGAAAAATACAATTTTTAAAAAATTTGCCTGCCTGTCTGTCAGTTTGTTCCGGCTAATCTCCGAAACAGCTGACTGATTTAATAAAGTCGCTAGTTAACAATAATAATTAAAAAAATAGTTTTGAAATTGACGAATATATCGCACCTTAATAAAAAAATAATAATTCACCCACTTTTTAATACGGACAATATTATTAATTTTATTAATATAAATTAGACGGACAATAGTTTTACTTAACCGGAAATCGAACTGATATCCCTGAGAATAATTTACTTATCTATTTTCATTTCAGATACTCTTAACATCAGAGGCTCAGATATACCATTCAATCCAGTTTTCTTTTCATATCTAGTTATTAGAGCGGATCTGGTAAGTAAATGCTTTTAATTCAATTCAATTCAATTTTCTTATTATTCTATTTATAATGATTCAATAAATATAAATATGTTAGGACCATCTAGTTCCATGGTAAGCGACGAGGCTTGTGTTATGGATACGAGATAGTTGGTACACTACACATATATAACTTTAAATACATACATATTACAAAATATATAAACACCCATGACTTTATTACAAACATTCGTTTTGGTCACACAAATGAATGCCTCCAGCGGGACTCAAACCCGCGACCGTTGTCACAGCAAGTAGAGTTATTACAAACTGATCCAAACGTGTCGTCAAGCATGTTTTTTGATAAAAAAATAAATATGTGCTCTCCGTTAAAAAATTTGCTTCATCCCAATAACAGTATATACATAAATAATAATAAACGTCAAACTTAATTAGATTATAATGCAAACAATTTTTATATTTTGAAGTTATACTTCTACTCCAGGATCCCTAGTACAATTTAATAATTGATTAGTATCAAGCTAATTTTCCGCGAGCAGCTTCATTTTGATGAGACGCCCAACTTTTTCTTATACAAAAATTCTCGATTGTGGTAGGTAACAGGTGTAGCAGGGATTAAATATGTGGATTTGACGATTCTGAAAAAAATTATTACTAACTCTGGGGTTTATTATTCAATCTTAAGATAATTATTAACACTTATCAAAAAAATGTTTGTTCTACAAAATGTATGGTTTGATCAAAGAGTCCCCTACTTCCAACATGTATCGATAACGAGGTCATCAAAAATGATTACTAACCAGCTGATTTTTTTACTGTTGCTTAGTTAATATTTATATAATTTAACAGGCATGTCCTAAAAATTGCGTGGTACGTTATCTCGGTCCTACACTTAGAAATTGTTAATACCACAAGATCATTTTTCTTATTACTAACTGTAGGACAAAAATATTACATAATAGGTTAGTGTGTTATTCTTTTAAGATGCTTAGAAAAAAAAGAGAGTAAAATTTTTACGATGCGCGCGCACACCGACAGCCAAAAAGCTACATGATGAAGTAAGCTGCATTAGTTTTACAAACAGAGAGTTCAGACATACGGGATGAAATCTTTAGCTATTTTTGTTCTGTTACGCCTAAGCCGTATAATTTCTTACGTGCGTACATTAATATACACTGACACAATCGTTTTTATAAGAAATAATAAAAACTGTTAACTATGTTACTGCGCGGTAAGACGCGTTGAGTTGATGACGTTTGGAAATGATCAAAACAATTACAATTTTTTTAGGAACACAATAATGTGATATTGTTTTGGGGTGATGGGAAGTTATCGGCTAACATAAAAAAACATTTGCTATCAGAAGGGACGCGGGTTCGGTGCCTACCGTATACTGAGATATTCCAATATTTGAGGGCATACAGCGTGAGTATATATTATTATTTATATAATTATATTGCTACTAAATCTACACTAATATTATAAATGTGAAACTAAAAACTATGGATTCGGTTTCTGTACCGATAATAATGACAATTTCAATAAGATTTTCCAAAAAATATTTCATGTACAGATTTAACTCATATAAAATCTAACTACGTCTTAAAATTTCTTGATTGTATGTATGTTTGATTGACTAAAATAATTTAACTTGTTTTAGCAACAATTAAATAATAACCATGTTATATGGCTCTCGAGTGACGGAAGCGAAGCCATTCATATGGCGGCGAAAACGGTGAGTTTTTTTTTAATTTTATAGTTTGTGCCTTTTATGAATTGACTATATGAAAATGGATGGAAAAATCTACGTTTTTTTTATATACTTAGTTAAAAAAATTATTAAGATGTAATGTAAAATTTGGGTATTCCTATTAAAAAAAAATATAGGTCTAAAATGGAAAAGCAAAAAATACGAAATATTAGCTCTCACCATATCAGCTTCTTGTGTAACTATATTCTATAATATTCTGGGTAACATTGAATGCGACTTTTGTTTTTTTTTAATATTTTTTGTTTCAGAATAAAGATGTAAGGACTCTTTCTACAGTCTCTCCGGTCGCCCTCATGAAGTGTGTTAAAAACAGCGTTGAACTAGAGGTATGAAATAAGTATTTAAATACATATACATAATTTTGTTTGTGAAGCAATCATAATATTTAAGCGCGCTTAAAATTTTGTTTTTTAACTTCCTTGCTTTGAAGCTACTTCTTATTGTCGCATAGATGTGAAACTTTGTAATAAAATATACATGCAATAATTTGCTGCCATCCATACTATTATAAATGTAAAAGTGTGTTTGTTTGTTTGTTTGTCTTTCTTTCGCGTCGAAATAGAGTTACGGATTGGCGTTATTTTTTGTACGTAGATAGTTGGAGGGCTGGAAAGTGATATAGGCTATTTTTTTATTTTATTATCTAATTCCCACGGGAAAACACGTTATAATACAATCCAAAAAATATTTATAATTACAATTACTTGAAACTCGGTATCAATAAAATAAAATAAACAAAATGAGAAAACAAACGTATTAGCATTTTTCGAAATTCATCCTATAAGAGGGTAAAATAGGGGATGAAAGTTCATATGAAACTACCTTTTTAGAGATTTTTTGTAGTTTTAGCGCGTGCGAAGCCGCGGGTTCTGCTAGTACTATATAATTTGATAATGTAGTACATCTTTTTAATAAGTATTAGTTGAACTTAAAGAAAAAAGAAGAAGAAAGAAGAATTGGGGATGAAGGCTACACCCACTTAAAATAATTTTTACAAAAACATACAGACGAGTAGAATATTGGGTCAAAAATAAGCAAACTGGGAAGCAAAATTTAAGGCATATTTTTAGGGTTTCAGATCATCCCACATTAAGGATGGTATAGCGGTAGTTCGATTCTTGCGCTGGCTTCACGAGAATGTGGCAGATGGACAGAATATTACTGAAATAAATGTTGTTGACAAATTGGATGAACTCAGAAGGTATTTACTTATAATATAGCGCTTTAACGTGTTAGTAAGTACGAGTATGTTAAAAAACCTTTATCGATAGTTTTATTAAGAGTTTTTATATTTTAGCCAAGAACAAGATTACAAGGGACCATCATTCGCGACGATTGCGGGCGCAGGGGAGAATGGGGCTAACATACATTATAAGCCCTCGAGAGAAGGGCCTCAGAGGGTCATTGGAAAGGACGAGATGTTGTTAGTTGATTCTGGGGGGCAATATATGTAAGTATATCCCGAGGAAATGACTTAATGTAGATAATGAAATATTATAAAATATAATAAATTTGAGCGGTTCACAAAAACCGTCGTGTTCATATCGTAGTTTTTGTGAACTGAACAATCTTAGCGACTCACCCTTGCTCCGCTCGGGTTAGTTCCTAGTTACGTTTTAACGTTTAGTATAGATTTCCCAGAGATGGAATATTTTCCTTCAGTAAAAAGTATCTTATATGTTGACTCGGATTACCAGCTATCATCATGCCAAATTTCATCGAAATCTGTCCAGTGGTTTTCTCGTGATGCGGTCACAGACAGAGAGACAAAAATTCTAAAAACTATAGATTCGGCCTCTGCATCGATAATAATGAATGACTATTTCAATAAGATTTTCCACAAAATATTTAATGTACAGATTCTACTCAGAATTTTTTTATCTGTACATATCTTCTACATGTACATATAAAAAACAGTGTAATAGATTCTAAAATTGTACTAACTAAGCAAAAAAGTTTAGTAATAAAAAAAAATCATTAAACATTGTTAATATCATCTATATACTACATACATGAACGAGTGGCTAATTCGTTCATGACTACATAGTTAATAAAAGTGTAACTGAACTGATCGCTGTCTGTACATGGAAGATATTTGGAAAAAAAAACAGTATTGGGGGTTTTTATTAACACAATAGAACCGAAAACAATGATTTTTGGAATTTCTTTCTCTTTGTCCCTGCGTTTGTGCGAGCCAATCTCGAAAATGGCTTAACCGATCAAATTTATAGAATCATAGTGGTAAATATAACCTTTACCATTAAACGTTTTTTATATTTTTTATATTTTTTACGATGAAATAACGATATAAAGAAAGCAAATATATAAGAACTGGGTGTTTATATACCAGAATTACTAATAAGTACATTTATTTTTAAGGGATGGCACAACAGACATTACCAGGACTAGACACATGAGTGGTTCTCCCACTGCAGCACAACGACTTGCTTTTACTCGAGTTTTGAAAGGACAGATTTTGATGGGTACTGCAGTCTTTCCTAGAGGATCTACTGTGAGATTTATTATATTATACTTTTGCGCAGTGGCGTAGCTATGCCACTGTAACTAATGCGGTCGCAAAGGCCCTCTGATTAAAGGGGGCCCCAGCATTTGAAATTTTTTTTGTAGGACGACCCTCATAAAAGCTTAAAAAACACAAGAAGAAAGTAGCCACATATCATTTTTACGAGGACCACGATGGTATATAATATGATCGTACTTATGCTTTATAAAATGATGAATGGTCCTCTAAGCTCAGCTCTTTTACTAAATTTTACTCTACCCGTTCATTTTTTTTTCTAAATTATTACTGTATTATTTTTATGACAAAAAAAAACCGTGAAAGCAAATGAAAATATCAATATTCAAAGAACAATGGCAGGTTTCTTTACAACGTTTTACCTGATATCCATTTGAAGCGTCTTAAAACGAAAAAATGCTAAACGATAGGGATTAATAAATAACACATCTTTAACCATAAAGATTTTTTTTATTAGAAAGTCACAAAAAAAAGATATTAGCATTTTCATGCTATCAACTATCTGGTAACAATAACACAAGCCTCGTAGCTTACTATGGTACTAGATGGTGTTGCGTGTTGATGTATCAACATATTTATTTAAAAAAAAAGTTACAATAATGAAATAACACACCGGACCGTTACACGTACTCTCACACTCTGTCAATATGACAGCTGTCTCATATACATTTTTAATAATCAAAAACAAAGAAATTTGCCATCAATGCCATCGTATTTATATAAATCAAATTATTAAATAATTATTATTTAACACATTATAATTGCCTCATTAATTCGTTTATTTTAATTCATTATAATAAATACAGATATTTTAAATTAAAAGATGCACAATTATGATGACTATGCTAACATAATTATGTTTGTTTCTTTCTCGTGTCGAATTTTCGTTTCATCGAGTTAATTACGTTTGCAGCAGTCAGGAGGTCGAAAAAAAACCAAATAATTAATAATTATTTATTAATTTTACATTAATACAATAATTATATATCTTAAAACTAACGACTTCTTTACTCGAAGTATGAATAAAGAGTGATTGAAAAAGTATTACAATTAATAAAATTACTAAATTAAAACAATGCGGCATTACAAAACTAATTCGGGGAACTCGGCGGTGGTCGCCTGGGAAACGTACATTTATTTGATATGTCAGCATATTCGTGGGATTAGGGTTCCGTAACTCCTCCACCCCTAGAGAGGCAACTATTTGAGAATATTGAGATAAAAAGTTGCCGGGATACTTGTGTCCTTAAGATTCTCTGGGTTATCTCCATTTTCTAAAATTTCTTCCTTTTTTGCAGTAGTTTTCTTATAGGGTAAGGTTGCTCAAGTCGTACCACGGCCTAAGTCGTACCCCGGTAATATCTTGTCTCGTAATTATAAATTGCGCCATATAATGTTGCTAATCTGAACTTCTTAGTCGAGCGACCAAACAGAAACAAGTGGACGACCGGCCGGCTTCGTGAAGTAAAAATATTGAAAAAGTAAGTTTTTGCACAGTTTTCATTAACATTATTGACACATTTGTAAGCTTTTTATGGCAGGAATGAGATCCTTAACTTTTTTCTTTGGTAACATGTGTTTGTGATACTTATCTGGTAATAATTTCGAATACTCAAACATTAGAACTTTCTTAGGTTATGTCATTACTTTTATTTTTAAATTTAGAAAACACTGCCGCTTAAGTCGTACCTGTACAAAATTCCTAAGTCGTACCTGTACAAAATTTCTACTCGTACTGGTACGACTTAAGAAATTTGTTTAATATAAAGTTTATATAATTTTTATCAGGTTAAACTTAAATATGGCGAAGAGAAGGTATGATACTTGGAAGCAAGAGGATACGGACGAAGCCTTAGAGAAACTTCAGGATGGAGATATTGGATTTAATGAAGTTTGTAGAAGATTTAATATACCGAAGCCTACTCTGCGACGATATTTGAAAGGTTTGAATAAAAGAACAAAATTTGAAATACGTAATGATATGTCACCAGACATGGTAGAGATATTAGCACAGCATTTGATGAATTTAGAGTCTTGTTTCTTCGGATTATCATCTATCGGCCATTGAATTTAGGAAACTTCCCTTCGAGCCCGCTGAAAAATTTGAACTACCTTATCGTTTTAAAAAGGAGAAGAAAATTACAGGCAAAAAGTGGTATTACAGGTTTATAAAAGAACATCCTACTTTGTCGTTGCGTGTTCCAGAACCTCAATAGCCAGGACTAAAGGGTTTAAAAAGAGCATGTTAATGAGTTTTTGATAAGTACTAAGAAATACTGGATAAATACAAGTTTGCTACTCACCAAATATACAATGTGGACGAACTGCACTATCCACCGTTCACAAACCATCCAAAGTTATTGCTCAAAAGGGAAAACACCAAGTAGGTGCAATTACAAGTGGAGAAAGGGGACTGGCCACAACAGGCATACGTGTGATGAATGCAGCAGGCGAATTTATACCACCCATGTTGATATTTAAGCGTAGCAAACTGAATGATGCCTTAAAAAAAGGAGCTCCTTCAAAGACAGCGTTTGGTTGCTCGAAAAATGGATGGATAATATCAGAACTTTTCGTTCAATGGCTTCAACATTTTATTAAATGCACAAAATTAGAAACAAAGTGATCAAAAACAAATATTACTTTTACTAGATAGCACCCATACCAAATTTATATAAATTTAACATTTATACTTTGACATTTACACAAATTTAACTTTCTAATTAATAACCAAAAAAATGTTTTAAGTTGTCTCAGACTAAATTTTTTGTAATTATGTTGTTATGGGTTCCCTTATTAAAATAAAAGAATGTACAAATTTACAACACTATATTAGATTCTAAGGCTACACAAATAACAATTTACTAATAGGTACTAATAAAACTAACTACAAGTAATACTTAACTTAGCTATTTACAAATTATAATAATGCTACTTAGATCTAAAGAATATGAAGGGCGCCAGGAGAGTTTTTTTGGGGCTGCACAGCTGATCACAGCCTTTGCGTGGAACTCTGCCAAAACCTAGCCACGGCTATCCCAGTTTACAGGGATTCTTATTGGGATTGTATTCCAGCACCTTAAGGGCGTTACGTTAGGCTACAAATAGAAAATACACATATTGAGACATAATATGATAATATTGCATCATGCTGTGCCTAACGGTCAAATGAACTTATATGATACACTTACCCCTTTTGTGCACAATTATTCCCAAGGTATATTACTTATATACTTCGTATTTCGTTACGGCAATGAATTAAATTTAACGAAATAAATATTTCTTACTACGATCTTCAAAACGATCACAAATTGCATAAACTTAATCTTAAGGATGTGGACACCGAGCACACGTTCATCACGGCTCGCTCCTTATACCGCAATCATCTATCTCATGTCATTCCTATAGTAAAAAGACACTTACCGACACAATAGCTAAAAATTAACAAAATCAAGAAAAGTAAGCCGCGCGTGGGATTTGAACTCGTGTCGCATAGTACGTAACATTTAAACTGTAGCCGAACTCGCTGAGCTATCATAACTTAGTAAATTAAAATGAATTTACTGGTCATTATGTGTACTCATAACATTCCCTCAACCTACCAAAAAAAAATATATATAATATTAAGTTTAATAATTTATGTTATTAATTAAAATACCTGGTTTATATATTTTTTTTTTTCACTCCATAAGGGTTTCAAGTCTTTTGCATGCCAAACTCCTAGTGATTTCCCAAAAGCATTATTTAAATGATAAACATTTTCAGACCGTTTGTCTGTAATAATGGCCTTTTCATATTTTGGTGCCAGTTTAGCCATGAATTTATTTCTCGCCTTAGAGAGAAATTTAGTTTTCTTCCATACTACATCCCCTACTTGAAACTTAGCTTCCTTATGATTTCTGTTATAAATTTCTAGACTTCTTTGATGTGACATTTCTAGCTTACGTTTAACTGTACTGTATATCATAGGTCGATTCTTCAGTTCTGTAAGATACTCATCGGTTTTAACTACAATAGGCTTCTGCGAAGTAAGGGGTAATGTTGTGGTGTTATGATTTATACCTGTTGGAATTGATGTTTCTCTTCCAAAGAACAAGAAAGCTGGCGTAAATTGCGTTGTTTCATGAACTGCTGTCCTGATAGAATGTGCAAATTTCTGTAAGTGAACATCCCATTCATTGTGTTTTTTCGAGTTAACGAACGACGATATCATAGTGCCAATCACTCTATTTACTCGTTCTGTAGGGTTGCTTTGAGGGTGGTAGCTTGGCGTATACCAAATTTGACTATGATATTTATTGACTAGTTCCTTAAAAAAATGTGACTCAAACTGCTTGCCGTTATCACAAATTATAGCTTGGGGAATGCCAAATAGGAGAAATTGATTTTCCACTATCTCACAAATTTTATCCGCTTTACCATTTCTTAATGGAAATAATAATACAAATTTACTAAACATACAGGTTAGCACCAATAACATGGTATTTCCTCTCTTGCTTTTAGGAAAAGGACCCATTAAATCTAATGAAATTACTTGCCAAGGTCTTGTAACAGTTCTGTGTTTTCCCATGCGGCCATATGGTAACTCTTGCGATACTTTCATTTTTGCACAAACCTCACATTTTCCAACATGGTTCTTCACATCCTTCAACATATTAGGCCAAAAGTAATATTGCTTTATTTTAAATAATGTTTTCCGAACACCGAAGTGACCAGCCGTGGCGTCATCATGGCATTGTTTTAAAATTTGAGTCCGCAATGAATTTGGAATGTATAATTTCCAATCATTAGTTGGATCAGGATACTGTTTTAAACATATTTTCCTGTATAAAAGCCCATTTTCAACTTTCCAAGCCGAGTCCTGTAAATCACTATTCAATATTTTAATTACTTTATTTTTATACCAGTCATCCTTATGCTTATCCATAATTTCTGTACTATTTATTTTCCTATCTATTATTGTATCTATTGAC